ACAGATGCCGTAGCTACTTCACTCCTGAGCAGTTGCTCCAAGTATATAAGGGGTTCATTCATCCTAACCTGGAGTACTGCTCTCATATCTGAGGTGGCTCTTCTGTCCAACTGTTAGATAGGGTAGAATCAAAGGCATTTCGTCTTAGTATCTCTTCTTCTTTGGTTGATAATCTCTCTTCCCTTTCTCTTCGCCACAATGTTGCTTCACTCTCTCTTTTACAGGTACTTTAACGGGCAATGTTCGGTGGATTTGGCATCCTGTGTACCGCCGGCAAGGCCGTGGGCTCGTAACACACGTCTTGCCTGCGGTGCCCACCATTTCTGTGTGGATGTCGGTCACACAAGAATAACTCATTATAGTACCTCCTTCTTTCCTCACACAGCCAAACTGTGGAATGCTCTGCCTTCTTCTGTGTTTCCATACTTATACAATCTGTCTCACTTTAAAAAGCTGGTTTTCTGGCATCTTCGTGGTGTAGATTAACACAGTATAACCTTTTTCTTCTCTATTTTCAATTTCTTTGTTCTTTTTTTTTCGCCTCCCAGGCCCCGTTGTGGGTCGTTTGACCTGTGCCCGGGTGGGTTAATTCCTATATAAAAAAAATAAATAAATAAAAAAAATAAAAAATACATATGTACAGGTAAACCTCAAGATACAATGGGGTTAGGCTGCTGAAAATCCAAAACTAGGTAAATTATTTTAGATAGGGAGCATTATAACATAGGGTTCAATGGGATACATTCCCAGCCAATCTGCAAATGCACTTATACCACCAACAAAAAAATTCCTACAATACTATCAGTACAAGGCAATTAACAACACTCACCCCATTGTGAAGAATAAGCCTGGTCATCATCACATGTCCACCTTTGAGGTAAGGGGACTCTTGTAGGTGGAATGGAGATGTCACTCTGACTCCCACACAGCCTTTGGGGAGTCGTATGCTGCTTAACATTGTCAAGCTTCACCTTAGAGATACGGAAACAGAGCAAAAGCACTTGTCACAAAAACAGCAAATGATAACATAAACAAGGATAGTGGCTGACAGCTCACATTTTCAAAACATTACAATCCCCAAAACACAGAAACTACTACCACTTCAGTCACCATAACACAGTTCAATCTAAATGTTAGTGCTGTCCTCTCACTATATAAGAAAAACAAAAACAAAACACTGATGATAAGTACAATGTATAATACTGCCCGATAATCGTGGAGCCATGCGATTGCTGGTTTACAATCGACAAAGAACCAAACAGGGCTGTAGCCCATGGGTTGACCATGTGGTGGCACGTGGGTAAGTTTACAAGTGAAGGTAGAAATTTGTGGTGCATATGGTTAAATACTGTTTCCTTATAAAATGTCACTGACTTGACATAGCAAAATATAATTTGCATTGCTGGAATCCTTGCAAGACAGCGATTAATTTGAGTAAATACAACCCATAGTTTGCACTAGAGATAAAAAAAATCCAACCAATGGATATCGTTAGTGTGTTTGTTGTTTTGATTGTGTATAGCGAGATGGTCTTAATTTATAACCATCGTTGAAGCGGAATATCATTTCTCGTTTCACTTATTTCATCTGCTACAATAAAGATAAGTGCAGTGTAGATGTATACTGTTAACCTTAATTTTGTTTTGGCAAGGGATTTTTCAGCAAAATGATGGTTGAAAGCACTCAGGGAAGGTTATGCAAAAGTCAGAATTCTAGATAAGTTGGACAGCCTTGAGCCCCACATACAGTAGTATATATACAGTCATCCCCCAATATTCAAAAGGGTTAGGTTCATAAAATCATGCTGTACAGTACAGAATATCAAAATTCCATACAGTGAACCCAATTTACCATATACTCCCATTATATAAGTGGACATAGGTTCCTACAAAGTAACAAACACATATTATAATACACCAACAAGCTTTATTAATATTATCCTGAACATAAACATAATAATGCAGCATTTTAACTTGTAAATGAGTAGCAATACTGTACAGTAATACTGTACTACAGTACAATAAAAATATACTATTAACACACATTGTCAGTCAGGTGTGAGATGACTACACATATTGTCACCGTTACATATAAGAAAGTATAAAATTTGTGGAAAAGCTTCAATATGTACTGTAATATGACTTAGAACTAAATATACAGTTATAAAATACGGTAAAATAAGAAAAATGAAGAGCATGAGTGTGGGAAATGAAGGTATGTATGACGGGAGTGGGCTGTAACTGTCACCAGCCCAGCTGCACTCCCTACCCAAGGCCTGATGTGATGTCAATGCATACACACAGCACAGTGTGGCAGCCACTCACATCTGAGACAGCTAGCTGGCTGAACTGTGTGGTTAATTCTTTGCATTGTAAAAAGTGTTATTTTTGTACACAAAACCTTTGCTATTGTATTTTATGATGTACTATGTATCATTTTTACTGTTTATTATACCAGTTTTTATTCACTTTTGGATGGAGGGAGGAGTAAAATTATAGCTACAGTATGTATATTTTTATTTCCATTTAAAACATAAATATTTTTTTATACCCAAATTTCCTTTATAGTTTGGTTTCCATTTATACAGTGCAGTAGTGAATTTCCATGAAGCAAATTTCTGACTATACAGAGTCGAGTCGCAATAATTCACGGGTTAGGTACCAGAAGACACCATAAATGATCAAATCACAAATATGTTTTAATTGATGTAAATTAAAATAATTAGTTACTGGTAGGTTCCAGAAATATGAAAAAAATATGAATAAACTATTACAAAAATGCTTTAATAAACACTAAATGTAGGACATTATACATTACATAAAAAATACAGTCGCAAAGCGAGTGTTTAAACAACATATTTTTTAGCATACAGTACAGTAGTTTAAAAAAAATAATAATTAAGGAATACAGCAATTATCTTAATACAGTACCTTAATTTTACCTGTATATAAATGAAGTGGCGATAAAGTTGTGGTCAACACTGTCCTCCTCCTAGTTCACCCCTTATGAGAACACATGCTAACTGTTAGTTTATTCAGGATTAATACCAAATAATTTTCATTCATTACCAAATTTATTATCATTACAAATTGCTGCCACAGGCAGCATCTCATCTGGAAGCATCTATGTCAAGACAACTGCACAACCACTAATTCCTACTTGAGTGAAATAGTTATATTTATTCAATTGCAGTATACCCAATCATATCCACATTTATAAAATGTGATCCATAATATATACAGTATGTTGCATTATAACTAATTCATGATATGAATATTGAGAACTTACTGGATAAGCAATGGTACCACACTCAACCCCAAATGAGGTACAGTATTGTGTGGTAGTCATTTTTCCTATAACATATGTTTTCATCACATTTTATAAATGTGGATGTGATTGGGTATACTGCAATTGAATAAATATAACTATTTCACTCAAGTAGGAATTAGTGGTTGTGCAGTTGTCTTGACATAGATGCTTCCAGATGAGATGCTGCCTGTGGCAGCAATTTGTTAATGATAAATAAATTTGGTAATGAATGAAAATTATTTGGTATTAATCCTGAATAAATTAACAGTTAACATGTGCACGCCTGCCACAAAAGTACACTTGGAGTGACTGCACGTGCAATCTCTCCAAGTGTACTGTTGTGGCAGGCGTGCATGTCCTCCCCTACATCCATGGCCACCATGACCTCGCTGAGGAGGTGGCTGGCAGGGTCTGTTTCTTCTCCATCACTGTCTTTGTCACCCAATGTCACTTAAATCTAGCAAATGTTGATGAATAGAACAACGGTCGAGGGTGGGGAGGAACGAGGCAGGTCATGAGACAATGAAGGACGTGCATCCATCATAAGAGCTGATGGGCAACTGGACCACCAGATTTTAGACAAAGATTACATGCTAGTTGAGTTACCAAGTAAATAAATATTCTATACAAAGTAATTTGTCTCGCCTGCATATTCAAACTATTCCGTGACATTAACGAGGTACAGCATCACCCGGGGTCGCTATGGTGGATGTAGAGGAACGTCACCCGGCATCGCTATGGTGGATGTAGACGAACGTCACACGACATTGCTATGGTAGATGTAGAGAAACGTCACCCGGCGTTATGGTGGACATAGGGGAATGTCACCCAGCGTCGCTATGGTGGACATAGGGGAATGTCACCCAGAGTCGCTATGGTGGACATAGGGGAATGTCACCCAGTGTCACTATGGTGGACATAGGGGAATGTCACCCAGTGTCACTATGGTGGACATAGGGGAATGTCACCCAGTGTCACTACGGTGGGTTTAGGGGAATGTCACCCATAGTCACTATGGTGGACGTAGAGGAATGTCACCCAGGGTTGTTATGGTGAACACAGGGGAACGTCCCCCGGGCCTTAAGGGTTAATTCCATTGTCTTCCTACACCTATTTACATCTCGATTCCAAAGCCTAGGGAGCATGAAGCAATAGTTTGTAGGGTCGAAAATCCCATTTCTGTAAAGGGACTGTACATTCTGTATGAAAGATTGTGTGCATAAAAAATGAAGCAAATTATGTAGGTCTATCCCACTCAATGATAAGTCCCATTGCATGGAACAAATGTTTATTACCTATATGTTTTTGACCTTACGATAATCATTATTGCTTCTTGCACATTTATGTAGGATTGTGTGCATGTAAGCATATGAAAAATAAAAATGAAGTTGTTTACATGCCCAAAATTATGAGTTAAAAATCATAATACAACTACTGCCTGTGCCTGGAACGGCGTGTTTCCAGGGGTATGCACACACAATTAATTATTAAGAGAAATATCAATAATATTAGGTTTTTTAACACTTATGTAAGTAGAAAAGATGACTGGGCACACAGGCATGGGAGGTTGGTTCCGAGGCAGAGGGCAGATTATTGGCTCTCACCTGTATCACTTATATCAATTGTATCACTATCCACCACAGAGGCTTGCAGGATCTCTTTGTCAAACCCCTCAAAGTCCATATCCTCACTATCACGGACTTGGGCCGGCTGTGGTGGGTGGCGGGTGAAGAACTCAGTAATGTTTTGATGACTGGGCGACCTTGTATGCACCCTGCCCGCGTAAATGACCAAATTTACCGAGTAATTAAAGCATTTCATTCTGACAAGGCACTGCGTATATGACCAAACATTTCCCCTAACCCCAGCCATTTCCTTTATTTCTTATAGGATAATTAAGATTTATTTACACGTTTTTTATTTACACTGCCATTCTCAAGAACGGAACTAGTGTAAATCGAGAGATGGCTGTACAATACTGTAATATGTTATACGTACGTAACCAGAGAATTTGTCTCATGAATAAAGAGTAAACTGTATACAGTACTGTACATTAAAGCTAAAAATTAGAAAAAAATAATTGTAGGGTGGTATATTGTATGTGGTAGATGAATGATGTGGAAGCAGCAGGGGGGTGGCAGCACAGGTGGGTGGCTCCCTCCCCCAACATCCTTTAACACGTCTTTATGCAATTTCACCATAATTCTCAATCATTAAGGTTTATTTGGTGCCAGGTTGATAAAATATTATCATAAGAGAATCAACTTTCTTGAAAAATGAATACCACACTCAACAACATGAGTTCTTTGTTTACAAAGGGCAAACAACTGATCGGCTTAGGTCCTTCACCACTCATGCTTACCACAAAGTCCATCTGCAGCACTTAATAAATTAGTACATGTCTGTAGTGTATTTATCATCACTTAATAATATTGTAGTGTACAGTATTATGCATCTGCATATACCCTGGGTTATTCATTAATCAGTTGTCTAGGTGAACAAGTAGCCAAATTGAGCCAATGTTTATCATTCAATGGAAATAAATAACACCGTTAGGAAGATATTTTCATATCATATACAGTACTGCACAATGTATTAGTGTTACCTTGTTGTATGCTGGTTTGCTGAAAGCTCTCACACAATTGCAACCTGAGTGTATTACCTTAAATACAGCTTAGTCTTTTATTTTTAAGTCAAATTGCAGCTTACATATTGTATTTTTCTCAATTACTTTAGATGTTATATCAATCATGATGATCCACACACCATAAGAGACTGATCATACGAAAATATAATACTGAATCAATACATAAACCTGATGAATGAGGCAACCCCCGACACGCCAAAACCCCTCCCCTGCAATCCCCAGCCTGTTTACAAACAGTGTCTTAGCCCTCATCAGACCAACAACAAATCTGATTAGACCACTGAACAGTATTCAGCGAGCAAGTGTTGTTCTTCTCATAAGATTTTTATTTTTACCCATTTCTTTAAATATGTACAGTACAGTACTTACATAATTTTAACTAAATTCTTAAAACCCTCTAATATCCCTGTTAAAGATACCACGTACTACACAAAAAAACATTCACGTAAATAAGTGTAGGTAGCGAGGTGCGGCACACTGATACTATATTTATAAAGGCAAGATTCTGAAAAAAGCAAATTCCGATACAGTAAAGTTCGATTTATCGAGGTTTTACTATAGTGTATACAAAAAAGTTGTGAAACGATAGCTACAAATTTTTCATAACAGTGGTTACTATGCAATTTGTTCATGTGCTTCGTTCAAATTGAACATTATTATTCATTTGGGCACATTTTGTTTTGCACCAGCTATTTTGACTGTATTGACATTTTTTTTTTTTTGTAAGGTACCGGTAGTTATCTGGAGATTTTGTCTTGTAATCGGAAATTCTCCACAGTAGTTTTCCTCTCTTCCCTGAGTCCTACCCTATTTTGAAAAGATCTACCAGTAGGACTCTGAATTTAAAGGCCAATGCCAGAAGCTAATTTACATACAGCTGTCTCCTTTTTTGCGTAGGCTGTGAAGGGATGTAGCCTGACAGCCTTACCATATGTTTGCTGGCAGAAAAATGCAGATGGTAATGGTGATGGCTCAGGATCATCCACATTAATAACAATGAAGGAACATGCTTTAGCTCTCTGAAGGATGTTCTACACATGCATTTGCACAAGCTTTCTCATCCATATGAACATAGTTTAAAAAAAAAAATTCTTGCCCTATATGCATGCATTTATTTAGATGGTGATTAGGTGACCTTTTGCTATGTTAACCATCTGTCAAACCTGAAACACAAACACAAAGTTAATTAGAACACACAACATGGAACCCTGAGGGGTTTAGGTAAGAGAAGATGAATAGACACAAAGACAGACAAATGCAAGACCCTACACTTTGAATACAACATTGAAACCTGGGACTGGCTTGCATGTAGATATGCATTTGTATGTGTGACAGAGGCTTTATTGGGGATGGTTGAACTGAAACTATTCTTTTTGTCATACATCTCTCTGTCGCATCATAGATATTAGATATTCAGTAATACCTGTATGAATCTTGGTGAATCTTGCTGCTAAAATTTAAAAAATCCTTCTTCAATAAGCCTGACACCATCTGCTATTTCTTTTGTAATGAATCCCATTGGTTCTGGAGTTTCAGCTTCCTCTACATCCTCTGACAAAATTTGCTTTCCAGTTTAATCAGATCCTCATTGCTCAATTCTTCAGCACGAGACTCAAGCAACTGTGTGACATCATCCTCATGAATATCAAGCTAGAGTTGGTTCTCAAGGTCTACTAATGCTGTGTGTCACTTCCCCAAAATCATTTTCAAAGCCCCTGAAATCATGGACAAACTGTGGGCAGTATTTTTTCCAAACACCATTTGCCCTTACAATGAACCAGTTAAACCAGCCCCTACTAGCAACAAAATATTTCCCATCACTTTCACCACCACATTTAGCCTTCAAGTCAGCACGCAAGCTTCTCGCTTTTTCCTGAATCAAGGCAAGACTTAGAGGCAGACACCGTTGATTTTAATCATCCACTCTCATCACTAACAATCCACTTTTGTTTTGTTATCACAGTTGAGTGCATTGGTGTAGATCCTTTTACATATTCAAGAATTTTCTTTGTCTTTCAAAATTGTTCGACCGTTGACCGACTAAAACCCAACGCTTTACCAATCACTGAGGGTGTTTTGCTTTTTCCAGAATGTTTAAATACATCAACTTCACTTCCATTGTAATTGTTTTCCTTTACTTGGATGCACTACTATCACTTGCATCAGGTTTGCTTTTGGGAGCCATGATGAGGGCCAAAAAAGAGTGCTACTAAGCAAAAAAAACAAGTTTGCATTTGATCACGCATGTTAAGGCGCTGAAGATAAAGCATACTAACGCTCCCTCAAGGCATGTGGCTGAGCGCAACTCATCACTCCCAATGCACTGTGCCTCCCCTCTATGCCACGCAAACTAGTTCTCGCACGTAGATACTATGAACCAGCTGTATTTGTAGGATTTTTTTAATTATTGGCTTATGGGACCTCGTTCGTAAGTCGGGGACCCCTGTACAGTGATCCCTTGGTTAACGAGCGCCTCGGTTAACGAGTTACCTTCCATAAGATTCTTAACTTCGGTTAACGAGCAATCCCTCGATTAACGAGTTTCTTACGAGCCGACCTGAAGATGTTTTCGCTTGCATTTGGCGGTCCACCAGCTGTAGTATTAGTCCGCCAATACAGTAATCGGTTTTAGGGCTTAAATTCCTTACCACTTTAGCAAATATCAAGAAGTTTATACTATTCAACAATTTTAAAAGTTTAATATTAATTTTTTTAGTCATTTTAACAATTATTGAACATAATTTAAGGTAATGAAACTACTGTAGTTTTATGCGTGCCATCCAGCCTCTCAACACACCATACAGGCATCGGTCTTTGTGTCTTTTCAGTGGAGGTAACATCTTGCTTGAGACTCTCTTGAACTAAAATCTTTTTTCTGTGTTTGCAAGCAAATTATTGGTCGTTTTGAAATTTATTTTACATTTTGACAATATATAATGCAGTGCAGTGTTGATTTAAAGAAAATAATCTTGAATTACACCAAGAGAACTAAAATTTTATGGGTGAAATGGCGCCATGGGGTGACTTCTCTTCCACCCTAATGCCTTCTCTGTTCCCTTCTCCTCCACCCCCATTCTAATTCCCATCATCATCATCATCATCGTCCAGGAGCATTCTACATACACACCTCAAAGTAAGTGTACTTTTCTACATTTTTTGTTGAATTTAGGCAATTTTCGGTGAGCTGGAACCAATTACCCAAAAACCCATTGAAACAATGGTTTCGGTTAACGAGCAACCTTCTAGAACGGATTGTGCTCGTTAACCAAGGGACCACTGTATTGTGTTATTAGCACTTTCCTGGATGCTGTTGATAAGGAAAAAGATCTGGGCGTTGTGATAGATCATTCAATAGAGGTGGCACAAGTGAGAGAAAAATAATCACCTTACATTTTTGTGTTATTTTAGTAGATAAAAACCTCTGAGGTTGTTTCGCGAATAGTCAAATTCACATGTTGCACTCGCATATATTGAGGTACTGGCACGCACGCACACGCACAAACAAACGCACACAAAAGGTGGAATGAACAAAATCGTATAGTACCTGGTGTCCATGGTCAAACAAAAATCCTTTTTTCTTTACAGCCATAACAGACTAGAGCAGGTTGGTTACCTTATCACATTAAAACCAGTAATGGTATTAAACCATTCAAAGCGACAACTAAAACATATACAGTATAACAAATAAAGTTACAGCAAGAAAAAAGAGTGAGTTTCTATACTATTAACCACAGAATGATGTATGGTTGAAGGGAACTACCAGACAGTCGAATTGCAATGTAATGCTTGATGAATTTATAAAAAAAATTCACTATTACTCCTGTAGATATGCTATTACTGAATAGGAAAACAAAGAGAAAGAATACAAGAAAAAACATACAACTGCTGTAGTATATTGGGCCCTTTTCAATTTTTCTCCAAGGTTACAGTGAATTTGACTGATGCTTCGGGGCTTTGCTCGTCAATACCCTTGGCCCACATATTACAATCAATTTCAACTGTGGTGTTAACTGTAAAGAAAAAGTACAGTATTAATGTTTGCAGGATAAATAAAGTAAAATGCTAATGAATACAAACAAATTATTTTTAAATATTCAGCTGTGCCAAAATTTTGTCAAATTACATATTTTCGAGTCCCAACGTCAGTACACAGACAAAATTTTCGTTTGTAATTCCCTTTAAAATAGCTGACAAGCTTAAAAGTGAGAGTTTTGTGGTGCTGAGAAGAAAAAGAGACACCCATTTTAGATAATATATGTATTATTTAAGCATTTTCGACTTACGACCTGGATTTGGGTCTCTAACCCCGTCGTAAGTGTTATAATAATAATGACATGGTTCCCTAGACTAATGCATGGTTTAGAATATATCCAGAACAAGATATTCTAGAGATAAAGACATTGAATATGAAATTATTAAACTATGTACACCAGAAAAGATCAATATAAAAGATAGAATATAAAAAATATAAATATATTGAAGAATAAAAAGAACAAGTATATGAAATAGTATGAGGTAAGGAAAAAGTCCGCCCCTTACAGTACTGTATCTGGTATTTTGAACCCCTTTAATTGGTACAAATGAGGTTCTACTGTGGATTGGTAGGTGAAGGTGATGTTTACAGCTCGAGCAACACATTCTAACTCGAAGCCGGTGAGGCCTCTCCCTCTGGTTAATGGATTGTTTACATCTCAATGAGGAATAATCCGACATTCAGTTTTAATGGATTTTCGGCTATGACATACATGGTTTAACTCCCAATTAGTCCATCATCCTGAGGGATTACTGTATAAGAATGCATGGAAATGTGCAAGTTGCCAATGGACATCCTGATGCCTCGATCAGCAGGATGGGTCAAAAGAGAATTTTTAACACAACTTGGCAATACAATAAACTCCCCAAAGGAGAACATGTGCCCAAAACTGAAATAGCAACACTGAAATTAAATTTTATAATTTTCAGATACTGACATTCAACCATGTCAAATATCAAGCCAATCCAATACTGTATACATATCTTTTTTAATTAGTTGCAGATATTTAAGTGATAAATATTCCTAAAGGCCCTACTTTATAATGAATTCAATATAAAAAAAAAAATACTCACCAAGATCTTTAAGCACCAGCTGGAATGCGACTATAGGTTTCCGATAGCCTGGTAGGTTTGTGTTGGAGAAGAAGGAACTGGGGAAACCAGGGCCGTAGTAAGAGTGAATGCCAAAGTGTGTGCAAGACACCCATATAACCTAGAATACAAGAAGCATATACAATAGTACTTGTACTTTAAAATGTGCTCAAAACTGCAACATACTGTACAACTAAATCTCCAATAGATTCACTGTCCTTGGTTGTATGAATCTTTTTCTATGTTACAAGTCATAAATACTGTAATTTATTTATCTTAAATTCAAAGAATTCCAGTGTTATTTTATTCCATAACTGACTTGTCCTTTCTTTCATAATTCAATTCACAATCCTATTTACAGCAATTCTTCATTTAAAAAAGTGTTCAGTTGCAGTACAGTAGTTGGTTCATCTTATAACATTTCTAAATTGAAGAACACCTTCATATAAAGGAGGATTTTTTTTGTCACCACACAGTCAGCAGAACAGGCCCACCCCCAACTCTCCTCTGGTGAGGTGACATAGTACATGTCCCTTCTTGCCATCATCACCAACCTACCTCTTTCATGACACCGCCATTTTCGTAAGTGATGCTTCTAATGAGGTCTCGAAGTGTATTGGGCATCTGGCTGGGTAGTTTCTCAATGTCATCATAAGGATCAAATTTAGTTTTCTGAAAAATATTTACAACTATCTAGAAAGTCATAATATAAAATGAAAACTAATGTCCTGAGACATATCCTCTCATCACCACCACCATTTTACACATTTACTTGGGTTATACATAATCACCTGATGGCATGGTGTCCTGATTGCTATCAGGGAGGCGATTTTTTATAAAGAAACATTTTTTTTCTTCAGAAAATGGTCATTGTATGTATGAACAAGAGACAAAGAAAACAACAAGCTGTCCTTCTGATTGTTGAGGCAGACAATAAATACAAGGGAAGAAATGTTGTTGAAGGAATAAGACAGTAATTCGAATTAGAAGACTTCATTTATTAAAGGAGACTTTTCCATAAGGAAAATACTTATAATTTATGTACCTGTTATCATGAAACTTGGGCAAACATGTTCTATTAATAACATTCATTCATCCTACAACTTATCATTACACATATCTCAAGACCACAGCCATCCACCAATAACCATAGCTCCTACCACTGAGGCCCGTATTCAACATGGATGTAGTGTAGATAATACTGTAGTGGATATTGTGTAAATGGTAATAATACTGTATTACTTTAAGTTATGAGCTGCCCTCAAAAATGGGCAACATTTGGTGCACTAGCTAGTGGACCACATAAAAGAAAGAATGCATACAAATAATTAAACAACAATCTATATCTGGCTTTAAAACAGATCATCAATCGAGTCTATTAAACAACTGTCCATTACATACATGAAGTTTGTCACCAAAGAATTTTCAAGAGCCAATAAAAGTATTTTTTTTACTCACCAACAGTCCCACTTATTCTCACTTCTAATGCAAATATGTTAAGAAAGTACCAAAACCTTAGGCCAAAGTATCCCTATACAGTGGGGTATGCTATAACGAATCTAATTGGTTCTAGAACCTTGTTCGTTATAGCATTCATTCGTTATAGGATTAATTCGTTCCAGGCCCCCAGATACAACCACTTAACACTGAAAAATATAATATAAAATTGTAAAAATTGTAAAAAAGTGCATAAATAAGCATCTAAACCCCTGAAATAAAGAACATCATTAATACTTGTAATAAAAAAACAATAAATTAGTAAAAAAAAAAGAAAAAAAAAGAATTTTAGTTTCTAAATAATGTTCGTTGTAGGAGTTTCGTTCGTTATAGCAATCTCAATTTTATAGGTAAAACCGTTCGTTATAGGAATATTCGTAGTAGGATCCGTTCGTTATAGCATACCCCACTGTACACAGGCATGCACAATTATTATGCACTAACCAACTCAACCATTAATTACAAATAATGTACTGTACTGGAAAATATTGTACTGACCCCATTATAAGACAATATAATGCAAGGAGATGTTGTGTTGTAGTTCCAAACCATTTCTGGTATACATTCATGTCCCAGTATAACTTTTTGCAAGATGCAGACTTGTGTAGCATTTGGTTCAACTCCTGGAGGACATGCAATCACCTGTGTATCAGCTTTGGTAGCATTATAGTCTGTCAAAGGAATAAAACAAAAACCGAATTATGATAAATTGTGTATACTTCTCTCAATGATCTCATCACATCATTTACTGTACAGTAGTTGTATTATTATCAACTGCTATTTGTATACAGTATTAGTTTAACAATAATGTAGTTCAGCCAATGGAGTACGATACTACAGATTATGTGAAGTAAAAATTTTAAATACCGGTATGCTTAGTCACTTAATGTTGCTTTTTGCACAACCTTAAGTGTCAACCACCATTGTTGCTAGTTTTTAGACTAAATTACATTAATCAACAGTAAGGGTAAATACATATATGGTAAGTCCTCGTACAACGTCGACCCGCTTAACGTTGTTTTGATACTACGTCACTAACCTTTAGACAGCGAAAATTCGCTTAACGTCCCGATGACTCAGTACAATGTCGTTTTGCACCGTCACAGACTACTTTTACGGCGGATCACCCTCTCTCGGCATGCTACCTCTCACTCGCGGAACGTCACAGCAACGCCAGGCCAGTCTTTGTTAGGCTTCCACAGCGTTCATGCGTGTTTAAGTGTTTTTGATCTTAATACTGTACTCTAACAATTTGAAATGGCTTCCAAGCACCCATCAAGTGCTAGTGTTGTGAAGAAGCAATGCAAGACCATTAGCCTTGCTACAAAATTGGAGGTTTTAAACAGGGAGGAGCCACTCGCCACCCTCCTCCTCCTCCGCTCCACTACCCTCCACCACCTCCATCCATCAGTGAGTACAATACAAGATTATAGTTTATTTATATATACAGCATATGTACAGTAACTCAAAATATAACAATCATGGCAGCCAGCAGTGGCCTATGAGAGATGGTAATGCATGTTGCTGTAATGATTGTTTATCAGACCATAGCTTACAGCCCAGAGAAGAACAACACATATAACACTAAGTAGGTGCTGACGTGCCCCATAGGAGGCGGGTAAGGGGGGAGGGAAGGGGACAGGAGGAGGGGACAGGAGAGGGGAGGATAGGGAGGAGGGGGAGGGGGATAGGAGGAGAAGGGGAGGAGGGGGGTGGGAGGGAGGGGGGGTGAGGAGGGGAGGAGGGGAGAGGAGGAGAGGAGGGGAGGGAGGGAGGGGAGAGAGGAGGGGAGAGGAGGGAGGGGAGAGGAGGGGGAGAGGAGGAGGGGGGGAGAGAGGAGGAGGAGGGGGGGAGAGAGGAGGGGGGGAGAGGAGGGGGGAGAGGAGGGGAGGGGGAGGAGGGGGAGGGGAGGGAGAGGGGAGGGGGAGAGGAGGAGGGGAGAGGAGGAGGAGGGGGAGGAGGAGGAGGGGGAGGGGGAGGGAGGAGGGGAGAGGAGGAGGGGGAGGGGAGAGGAGGAGAGGTAGAGGAGAGGAGGAGGAGAGGAGGAGGAGGGAGGGGGAGAGAGAGGGAGGGGAGAGGGGGAGGGGGGGAGAGGGGAGGGGGGAGAGGGGAGGGGGAGAGGAGAGGGAGAGAGGGGGGGAGAGGGAGAGGGGGAGAGGGGGGAGAGGGAGGGGGAGAGGGAGGGGGGGAGGGAGGAGGAGGGGGGAGGGGAGGAGGGGGAGGGGAGAGGGAGGGAGAGGGGAGGAGGGGAGAGGGGGAGAGGGGAGAGGGAGGAGGGGGAGGGAGGGGAGGGGGAGAGGGGGGAGGGAGGGAGGGGGGGAGGGGGAGGGAGGGGAGAGGGGAGGGGAGGAGGGAGGGGAGAGGGGGGAGGGAGGAGGGGGAGAGAGGAGGGAGAGGAGGAGGGGGGAGAGGGAGGGGAGAGAGGAGGGGGAGGGGAGGGAGGGGAGGGGGAGGGGAGGAGGGGGAGGGGAGGAGGGGAGAGGGGGGAGGAGGGAGAGGGGAGGAGGGGAGAGGGGAGGAGGGGAGAGGGGAGGAGGAGAGGGGAGGAGGGAGGGGAGGGGAGGAGGGAGAGGGGGAGGGGAGGAGGAGAGGGGGAGGAGGAGGGGGAGAGAGAAGAGGAGGGGAGGGGAGGGAGGAAGAGGAGGGGAGAGGAGGAAGAGGAGGAAGAGGAGGAGAGGAGGGGAGGGGGGAGGAGGAGGAGGAGGAGGAGGGGGAGAGGGAGGAGGAGGAGGAGGGGTGAGGAGGGGAGGGGAGGGAGAGGGAGGGGAGGGGGAGAGGAGGAGGGGAGGGGGAGAGGGAAGAGGAGGAGGAAGAGGAGGGGAGAGAAGGGAGAGGAGAAGGAAGAGGAGCAGGGGAGGGGAGAGGGAGGAGGGGAGAAGGAGGAGGGAGGGAAGAGGGGGAGGGGAGAGAGGAGGGAGGAGGAAGAGGGGGGAGGAGGGGGGGGAGGGGAGGGGAGGAGGGGAGGAGGGAGGGGGAGAGGAGGGAGGAGGGGGGGAGTAGGGAGGAGGAGGGGAGGAGGGAGAGGGGGGGAGAGAGGGGAGGAGGGAGGAGGAGGAGGAGGGAGGAGGAGGAGGAGGGAGGGGAGAGGGAGAGGGAGGGGGGGAGGGAGGGAGGGGTGAGGGAGGGAGAGGGGGAAGAGGGGGAGGAGGGGAGAGGGAGGAGGGGGGGAGGAGAGGAGGGAGGAGGGGGGAAGAGGAGGAGGAGGAGGAGGAGGAGGGAGGAGGGGGTGGAGGAGGAGGAGGAGGGGGAGAGGAGGAGGAGGGGAGAGGAGGGGGAGGGGAGGAGGAGGAGGGAGGGGAGAGGGAGGAGGGAGGAGGAGGGGGAGAGGAGGAGGGGGAGGAGAGGAGGGGGAGAGGAGGAGGGGGGGAGAGGAAGAGGGGAGGAGGAAGAGGGAGGGGAGGAGGGGGAGGAGGAGAGGGGGAGGAGGAGGGGAGCCGGGGGAGAGGGGAGGGGAGGGGGGAGGGGGAGAGAGGGGAGGGGGGAGGGGGAGAGGAGGAGGGGAGAGGAGGAGGAGGAGGGAGGGGAGGGAGGAGGAGGGAGGGGGAGAGAGGGGGGAGAGGGAGGGGAGAGGGGGAGAGGAGGAGGAGGGGGGGAGAGGAGGAGGTGAGAGGAGGGAGGAGAAGGAGGGGAGAGGAGGAGGGGAGAGGAGGGGAGAGGGGAGGGGAGAGGGAGAGGGGGAGAGGGAGGAGAGGGGGAGAGAGGGGAGGGAGAGAGGGGGGAGAGGGAGGGAGGAGGGAGGGGGAGGAGGGGGGAGGAGGGGGGGAGAGGAGAGAGGGGAGAGGAGGGGAGGAGGAGGGGGAGAGAGGAGAGGGAGGGAGAGGAGAGGGAGGAGGGGGGGAGAGGGGAGGGAGGAGGAGGGGAGAGGAGAGGAGGGGAAGAGGGGAGGAGGAGGGGGGGGAGAGGAGGAGGAGGAGGGGAGAGGAGGAGGAGGAGGGGGAGAGAGGAGGAGGAGAGGAGGAGGAGGAGGAGGAGGAGGGGAGAGGGAGGAGGGGAGGAGGAGAGGGGAGGAGGAGGAGGGGAGAGGAGGAGGAGCGTGGGGAGGGAGGGGAGGAGAGGGGAGAGAGGAGAGGGGGGAGAGGGGAGAAGAGGGGGGGAGAGAGGAGGAGGGGGGGGAAGAGGAGGAGGAGGGGGAGAGGGAGGAGGAGGGGGGAGAGAGGAGGAGGGGGGAGAGGAGAGAGGGGGAGAGGAGAGGAGGGGAGAGGGGAGGAGGGGAGAGGGAGGAAGGGGAGAGGGGAGGAGGGGGAGAGGGAGGAGGGAGAGAGGGGAGGAAGGGGAGAGGGGAAGGGGGGGAAGAGGGGAGAGGGGGAGAGGGGAGGAGGGGGGAGAGGAGGAGGGAGGGGGAGGGAGGAGGGGGAGAGGAGGAGGGAGGAGGAGGGGGGGAGAGGAGGAGGAGGAGGAGGGGGAGGAGGGAGGAGGAGGAGGGGGGAGGGGAGGAGAGGAGGAGGGGAGAGGGGAGGAGGGAGGAGGAGGAGGAGGGGGGAGAGGAGGAGGGAGGGAGGGGGGAGAGGAGGAGGAGGAGGGGGGGAGAGGAGGAGCAAGGGGGTATTTTCAGAAGGGTAAGTATTATGAGGTGTTGAGTAATGCAAGGACGAACTCGCCAACCAAGCGAAAATGTGATTTGTTTTTGTTACCATTCATTTCATAAAGTTTCATTCTACTACAACTTAAGATGATATGGCGAGTTCACCTTTGGTTTACTGGCAAGATCCCATTGAATCATATGGTGTAAAACTCCTGGTTTCTCTGTGCTGCCTCTGGTAATTTCAGCGTTTGGCGAGAGCAAAGCAAAGTCGGTTGTTAACCAAAAATTTCGTTAACTGAATTTATTATTTTAATGGGATATTGGGTAATTGGTTCCAACTCACAGAAAAAGTATACATATAAAGTACTGTACACAGTAATAGAATTAACAAAACAATAAATACAAACAAAATACAGTACTGTACTATACAGTATACCTGTACAATAATAAATAAAAACATAGAATACTGTATTTTAACTTACTTTGAGGTGTGTATGTCATATTCTCGGCAGCTTTGTTTACCTATCAAACAGCTGATTGTAGAGGCAGTCGATGATGACATGCCATATTCTTTACAGAATGCATTGGTTCTAATGCCTTCTTCATGTTTCATAATAATTTCTGCACTGTATATTATCAATATGTTAACTAAATTTCAGAATGACCAATAATTTTAATGTAAAAATGCAAAAATATTCAAGAGACCAACAAACTCGATGTTCACTCCGCTGTAAACAAAGTTAAACTGAGAAAGCGTGGGCGATTCGATCAGCTGAAGGGCACACAAAAACTGTTCCCTGTACTGTATATACAATACATACAGTATGTTAGCTAAATTTCAGAATGACCAATAATTTTAATATAAAAAATGCAAAATTATTCAAGAGCACAACTGTCTTGATATTTATTCCACTGGAAACGAATGTAAACATAGAACCAATTATTGTATTGGCGGACTAGCCGGTCAGCTGATGCGCACAACAAAGCGTGTTTCGTAAGGCTGACGTTAATCGAAGTTTTGTTCGTTAATGGAACTGATTATCCTTATGGGAGCTAATTCATTAACCGAAATTTCACTAATTGAACTGTTTGTTAATCGAGGGACCACTGTACAATGTTTATGATTAATAGCATATTAAAAAGTTATAAAAAGGGTTAAAAATACTCGACTTATTTAAAACCAACATAATAACATTATTACAAAAAATAAAATAACAAATCAACCAATGGTTTTTAGTTCATACTGCTTTATCACATCTAATTTTTTTCAAGTAACAGCTTTTCTTCGCTTTACTTCACTTTTAATACCAGAATGTATCACACCTTTGCCATTCATTGTAATTAAAAACACTAAAACTGATACAGTACAGTACTTGCACTATGATAAAGCATAGTCTGCAATAACACATCTGATATATATGGAAGATAAACAAAGAATGCGGGGTAGGCGCATCTCACCTTTGATGATGCTGCGAGACTGCATAACCGCTTAATCCTACTTGAGTGACAAATCTGTTTATTCATTCACGCCGAGAGAGCACACGTTATAGGAGGACTGACTACTATAAGAGATGAGCAGTTTGATCAGCACAAAACAATGAACAATGCTACACTGAGTGTGGGAGCACAAGGCCTCATCAATGGTACAGTGCACCCACTACAAGCTAATGCTTTCTTGCAACATGCAATGACATGATTAATTAACCATGTCCTTATTATCTATTATTATACACTAGTTTGATAATTTTATTATCTCCATGTTGCAAACATGTGGACTATCTCTGCAGCCACAATCTGATGTGTTATACCTGTCATAAAAACTTTAAATGGCAACTGTAGTTGGGTCAAACTTTCTGTACACCAATTTTATTCATGTCACATTTGATATTGAAAGGAATGAATTTCATTCTCTTTTTTCAGTTTAATACAGGATTGTTAAGTGTGATTAATATTTATCAAAGCAAACTCAATGTGAATTACAAAAAGAGCAGCAACTTACCTTTTATGAACTGATTGAGAGAAGATATTTCCTCTTCATACGTGCTCTTCTGACCAGGATTAAACTTTATATTTCCTGAAGGTATGACAAACAAACCTGTAAAAACCCAATAAAAAGCTCATTTGCTTTAAACTCTGTCCAGTCGTAAAGGGAAATTTATATACAATACTAACTCCTACTGATTCCTAAACCAATAAGGGAAAAAAATAGGTAATTAGGTCACCCACTTCTTCCACTTACATCACAAAAAGGGGATTTCATAAATTAACCTTTCATTTATAAACTACAGGTCATCAGTGAGCAACATGCGAGATTCTAAACCCAGCTATGAACTTGGTGTAAGTTTTATGTCAACAGTATTGCTTCATGCACCCAAACAGAAACTATCACTCCTACATCACAAGAAATTATTTATCCTATAATGCAAGCATACAAGTATTTAAGTATAATACTTCCTCCTCCAAAGGACAGACATTCTTCTGAAAAAGAGACCATTATTGTGCTTTATTTGTGGAGCACTGCAGATAGATTTATGCTGGCACTGAGTAACAGACTATATTTTCTTCTGGGCTAAATAATAAATATAAAGAGATCTCTTTCAAGGTATCCAGTAATACTGCATATAATTTACTCTAAAACAAGACAAGAGGTAATGGAAATTATAATTTTGTCTTGTCAAGTTAAAAAAAAAAAAAAAAAAAAACACTAAATTTGGTTGTTCATTTTTTGGAAAAAAGCACATGGGATTAACTTAATGTCATCATCAACGCCTGGGATTACCTTGATGTCATTAGGAGCACCTGGAATTAACTTGGTCATTATGAGCACCTGGGATTACCTTGATGTCAGTCATTCGCATTTTTTAAACATTCGGGTTACTTATTAGTAACCCAAAAGCGCCCTCCGAGCCATAATCCTTTTTTTAAACCAAATTTTGTCGGGTTACCATTTGGTAGTCCAGCGATATAGTATTACAGGCATCCCCGCGTTACAAGAAGTTGCGAGATTTCGCTCTTACAGAATTTGTAAATTATGACCAATAATTTCGCGATACGGCCCGTAAATCCGCCCTTACGGAAATTGGGGTAAATTTTAATAATAAAAAAATAAATCACTAAATAATTTTTTCAATTATAATTTGTTTGGTGTGGATTTCTTGGTGTTTGCTACCGCCAAGTGTGGGCGTGCACAGGCGAGGTCACTCCATTGTTTACATCCGGTGTCTGCGCATGTTTCTCGCCTCCAACGTTGGATTTAACTTTTGCAAACATACAGTAAGTACAGTACAGTGCATTACCCTTATTCAAGATGACTGGAAAGAGGCCATCAAGTGCAACAAGAAGCCGCAAAGGCAGTACATTGGATATTAAACTTGATGTTTTAAGAAGGTATATCATAAATTATTTAATGTACTGTATTGTATGTGTTTATAAATGTTTATTTTCATTCATAAAAGTGCTTGAATTACTTTTTGGGAGGCCGAAAAATTGCCTTAGGAATGCATCTCCAGTTTTATAATGTAAGTCAATGGGAAAATAGGTTTCGCGTTATGGAATTTCGCGATGCGGTCAATTTTCCAGGGACGCACTCCCTTCCGTAACACAGGGGATGCCTGTATTGGAAAGTTCGGGATAAATCCTCGGGTGTGGGTAGGTACCCGAAAGACTTATCGAATGTTCAAACTAGTTATATATGAATAAGTCTCTGAAATATAATACTGTATATATAAATTAAGATGAGATATAAAGAAAATAAATATTTAAATGACCTAATAACCCATTCCAATGAAAATGTATATATTTTTAAGAGACCGCCATGTACCCCCGTGATGTCGTACCTTCAACTCCGAATATTTTTCGTCTCCCCATCCCCCTTCTCCAATATTATCAAGCATTGCATTCCTACAATCATTCTCTTATAGCTTCAAGTATAATAAGTAATCCACTTTTGTTTGTGATAGAGAGATGTAATGCCATTTCCAATTTGCCAATATATTATACTGTATAGGGAAGATATAAGATGAGCCAAATGTACTAGGTAGATGCTGAGGTAATACTGTAGTTTACAACAAGTGTCATCCGTGACCCACGCTGATAATTACCCTGAAAAAAAAATTCTCCTGCTATACTTCACTGTTTGGGTTGTTGTTGATCCGGTCGTGTTTAGGTACTACCAATGTTTGTAAGTTTAGATTAGGTTACGTAAAATATTCTTTTTAGATGAAATGTTCGAACTCAGGGTATGAGAAAAGTGCCAAAATTGATTACATTGTAATGGTGTTTTCAATCACACTATTTAAATCATGTCGGTCCTACCTAACATCACTGGAACAACAATAAACAAAAGTTAAATATACTATGGACAAATTTCTTAAGGAAATTCTCTGCAATAGCAATGCAACAAGCTTGTAAACTATTTTCAAAAGTAAATTACCTTATATACAATAGTTACCGCAAAATATAGATAATAGATATTAGATTTGGTTTTATTTTTTCAGGCTGGCATTATAGCCTTCTGGTATGCAGAGCTAGCTGATGCTGTGAGGCTACCAAGGATTGTTATTAGAGACCATCAAAATCCTTTTGCTTATCTCTCTGAGGAGTTCATCAAGAGGTATAGGCTGTCCAAGGAATACAGTCATGAACTTCTTGAATGAGTTGAACCACATATGTCAAGAGTTCAAGAAGGACAAGACAAGAAATTCTGGTGTTACTATAGTGTGCGGTCTACAAGATAAATGGGTTAAGTTAGCTTAGGTTAGATTAGGTCAGGTTAGGTTAGGTCAGGTCAGGTTAAGTTAGATCAGGTTAGGTAAAGTTTGGTTAGTTTAGGTTAGACAAAATATATCTTTGTAGACTGAAACTTTAACCCTTAGGCCCCGGGTGACGTTCCAGAACTTGCGCCTATTCCCGTCACTGTTTAAATGCCCAGCGTGGGTTATCAGGCTCCAGTGTGACTATTTGCCTCTCACACCACATGCTCGGCCACAGGGAAGCTTCCTGAACATAATTACCTACTTTTGTTTGTTTCACTTTCATTGGTTGTCGATTTTATCATGTTGTATCAAAGTAATATTGATAAAAGATGTGTAGTTGTATTGTAGTGTAGTATCATTGTAAAACAATGCTATGATTATGTTATAAATGTTTTTATTTGTGGAATTATTATTATTTTATGCATTACTTGCTCTACCAAATACAAAGACAGCCAGGCAGACTGGCGACCGACTGGCGAGTGTTGCCAAGCACTTTTTTTAAGAAAAATTATGCAAATAAAATATTCTAAATTAATTATTTATAGCAAATAAGTATTAAGATCAGTAAATACATACATTATTGGCCACTTCGGACACAAAAGCGAGCTAAAAATAGCTGCTAAGTGCCGAGGGACCACGAGCGTTAGCTGTCAAACCAACAGTCTCCTTATCTCTCCCCCTCCTCCCTCCTTCTGCACGGCCAGAGAAGTTTCTCGAGGGTCAATATATAGTTTTTCTTACTTATATTTTATTTTTTCTTACTTATATTTTATTGTTTTATCATTTTAAAAGGTTACAAATTATTTTTGGAAAATTTAATTTTTTCTCGATTTACCCGGTGTGGGGTACTGCCACCAGCACCCTAACCCAGGGCTTAAGGGTTAAATCTTCGATTTTGGTCTATGCTCAGAAGTGTAATGGGTACAGTATTTATTCAATGTTATGCAGTGATGCAGAAAAGGGAGGGGGGCGACATCACCACTGTACAGTGCTCAGCACCCATGAAAACCCCTAAACCCACCTCCCATGTACAATAATATCACCAGGCCATAATTACAGTGCAATAATATATTCATTACTTAGAATTCACCAATACGTACTCAGAATTGAAATTGGCTCGTTTTTCCGGGAAAATTTTCAACATTCCGGGCCTGTGAACGAGTTTTCAAAGTTGAAAATCGGGTTATTTATTATTCGTTTAATTCCGAAAAATCTCTTAAATTTTATTCCAGGCCTTTGGAGTAAATATCTGGCAAATTTTCTGGAAATTTGAAAACTTCCTGAAACTCTCCGAGTTTTTTCCTGGGTCTCCGAGGATGAAAGAATGTTTAAACTCGGAAACATTTACATGTAACCGCAAAAATTCTAGGGAAGTGGGATTTTTCATGGTTTGAGAGTCTTGTTATCTGGAAGTCTTTCATCCTTGGAAGAGCTCTGCACCAATTATTCCGGCTAACGGGGATATTACCTGTATGTTGCACTTTACGGAGGGTGATTCTCTGAAGAACTTAAAATGTAACACAGTAATATTATCATCATAAGAGGCCCCTGTTGTTTACTATAATCAAGATAAGCAATGATAGACAAAACAGAAAATAAAAAAGTATATATCCTACAGGATGCAGTATTCTGCACACCTGCAAATCATTAACTGCATTGAGATACTTTAGCCGTGGCAGCTTCCAAATTAGTATGGCAGAATGCTTAAAGATTTCTGTGTCATCAGTTTGCAAGTGTCAAAAGCTATGCAACTATTTTGACCCTTACGGCAAAAGATTACATCCACTTTCCAGAATCAGACAACATACAAAACCTTGTAGATGAATTTCACCCCATTGCAGGGATGTCTGGTATATTGGGCTGCAATGATGGGTCTCGTATCCCTATTAGAAGCCCTGGAGGGAACACAGCTGAACTACAACGATGTAGAAAGGGGTGTAATTGAGACATGGTTTTGATTTGTATAATGTAGTTTGTTTGAAAGTAGAGCAAGTGTAAGGGTAAATGGAAGCATTATTGGTTTGGTAAAAAATTTTTTTAGATACCAGGTAGATTTTATTATCAAGGTTATTTTTCCAATATTTTTTTTTTCCTCCAAACATTATCACAGTACAACTTGAAACCATATTTCAATTCAAACAAAATTAAAAAGGGATTACACTGGCATGACTAAAGAAAAATATATCACAGTACAGTACAGTACAGTACTGAACAGTATATAAAAAATTATATCATTCAAAAAGTTTAGTATTTTGCTTGAAATAATAAATGTACACATTTTTTAAAGGCTTCAAAGTACTATACTGTACTAAAATAGCTTGCAAGTGTCAGAGAAATCCAGTCAATTTTAGTTCCTCTAAATAAGAACAAGCAGTAAAACCAAATTTATCACAGTACCTGTACAGTCCTGTATATAAATTAATAGTAATCATACTTAGTTTGAAACTGCAAATACATTTATAGCAATTATCATTCTTGAAAGATTTTAGAAGTACTGTACTGTACCTGAATTGAAATTGTAATTAAAGTACAAAAGAAATGTGAAATAAAAGAATGATTAAAATTCCCAAGTATGAGTATATAATACACAGTATCACAGTATATTGTATATGAAATTCTAGCAAAAATATGTTGAATCTCTTTTGGTTTCACAAGAAGTAATAGAAAAAAAAATCATTCATGTTTGATCATACAAAATATGATTTCACATCTCCCTTAAGTGCAAAAAAAAAAACAGTAAACAGAGATAAAAAAAGACATTTAAATTTCTCCAATAAGTATGAGTGTACAATACACAGTATCACAGTACGTACTGTTTACTGTATCTGACATTATATCACAAATTATGTTGAAAGAATCTATTTGCTTTCACAAAAGAAAAACAAAACAAACATAAATGTTGGAACATAAAACATATTTCATATTCTCCATTAAGTGCCTAAGTAAAAATAGTAAACAGAAAGAGATAGAAAAGAAAATCACAGTTTATACATTATCAATTATGACACTGATGGCAAAGTCTCCATAATTTAACTTGATTGCCCACAGCCAGAGGTGGAATTATGGCTGCACTCTTGACATATGCCACTGGTCAGCAACTCTAATGCTTGCTCTAAATACATTACACACAGATTGGGCTGATAATGTATTGTACATACGAGTGAAGGCCTTTAAAGCCTCCAATATAGCACCATTCAGTTCTTGTGTACTGTCCTTAATAATGGCAATGAGGTATTCATTCCTCTTGTTCACCTGCTTCCTTCTCTTCCCCCGTGACTGGATGTTGATGCTGCGGTTGGTGGCACGGGTAATCCTGATGTTGGATCAGTTGATCCAAGTGTTCCTGCTGGTGCAGACGCTGTCATAATTGGCTGTGATGTCTGCCTTCTCCCTTGAAGAACAACTTTTATCTCCACAACTCATGTTTCTGCTTCAATTTTTGAGTGCAAATCGACCTGGTTTGTTGATATTTATCTTGGATAAGGTGTACCAACCCTCCCAAGTTGCAGCGTTCAGGTTACTAAATAGTAACCCGATGTTTGGGATTGATATTCGAGTTTGACGAATCCATTTGACGGGTTACCAAACAGTAACCCGACATTCGGGATTGCTCTTCGGGCTTGCTGCCCCGAATGTTTAAAAAAATGGCCGATTATGAGCACCGGGATTACCTTGACGTCATTATGAGCACTTAGTTATAGTAAGATCCTCTGCAATTCGTTCTGGATCAATATGGGGACCTGCAAACCACTTCTTCATTTTCTGAACCACATGGGTACGTATGTGCAGATAAAAATGCTCGTGTGAAACAGGCTCTGCATCTGAATATGAGAGCTGCAGCTAGCTTGCCCGGTTTGAAATATTACTGTAAGGTAACGTAATTTTTCATTTGCAAATAAGCGGGATAGGATTTGTGAAAATCAAATACAGTGGGGTATGCTATAACGAACGGATCCTACTACGAATATTCCTATAACGAACGGTTTTACCTATAAATTGATAATGCTATAACGAACGAAACTCCTACAACGAACATTATAAATTTTTTTTTTTTTTTTTTTACTAATTTATTGTTTCTGTATTACAAGTATTAATGATATTCTATATTTCAAGGGTTTAGATGCATATTTATGCACTTTTTTACAATTTTTACAATTTAATATATTTTTCAGTGTTAAGTGGTTGTAATTGGGGGCCTGGAACGGATTAATCCTATAACGAACGAATGCTATAACGAACAAAGTTCTAGAACCAATTAGATTCGTTATAGCATACCCCACTGTACTGTAAGGATGTTAAAAGATCAATTGCAGATAAGTGGGGTTGCGATTAGCGAGGTATTCCTGTACTACATCATGCACATTCAAAATTGCTCGTGTTTTGTTTTGGCACAATATAGCAGCCAATCAGTACTCTGGAAACCTATAGAGTTACTAGAAATAATAATATATGCTCAGTAACATATTCAGTAAGGCAAGTGAAGCTGCAGAGAGAAAGTTCGAGTCTTCTGGCCTTAGGGGTCAGTGGCCCCAGTGTCTTACTGACAAGTTCATAGTAAAATTCATCTGTATATTTAAGTAAGAGTCTTGAAAGTAAATTTAATGAAGATGAACTCGTGAAAATAAAAAGTTTACTTCAAGTATATCATAGCTGGGAGCATGATAATTCTGTAAGTCTATACACATTACCACATCACATGGGGTTAATCAAACAAATGATATTACAGTGCTTTAAGACCACTGAGAGTGTTAGGTTGTTAAAAAAAGAGGCAGGGAGGCAGCAGCAATGTGCAGCCGCGAAAGTGCAAGCTTTAGGTGGAAAAAATAAGTCACATATGAGAGAATCCACCTCTTGCGAAGCTGGCACAGTATAAATGAGGGCAATCTGTACACAAGAATACTTGAAAATGTCCGCCAAAAGTACTTAATACTGTACAGGGTAATGCAAAAGGAAAGTCTATGAGAATAAAATGAGGAAGATTGAAAATATGGAATCAAGACATATACTGTATTTTGGTAGTTACTTACCCTCTTTCTCTGTCACAGCAGAGTACTGCCAATAAAGAAGACATATCACAAGAGTCAGTAGTAGACACACAACTATCAAACTTATCCCAATTGCAATCAAGGCTGGAAGAGGAAATTGGTATTAATACTGTATACAGTTCAATATAATTAAATAAACACACAAAATTTAAACATTTAACAGGACTTCTCTTTAATGCAAGTACAGGTTGGGTATCCCTTATCCGAAATTCCCACCAATTCTGTTTGTCTACAACCCAGGTAAGTCCTCTTTAAATACATTATTATGCTGTCCTTAGACTGGTATTTATGATAATTTTAAAGTACAGTGACATCTCCGTTAGCCGGAACAATTGGAGCAGAGCACTTCTGGGAACGAGAGATTTCCGGGTAATGAAACGACTCGCACAGCCAGAAAAAATCTCTCATCCCTGGAATTTTTCGGGTAACGGAAAAATATTCTCGGAAGTTCCAGAAATTGACCATTATATCACCTACTGAACCTCTTGAACCCGGAAAAAACTCCACCATCCCTAAAATTTTATGGGTACCGGGAAAATTTCTCAGAATTTTCCGGAAAATGTGCCCCTTGGAAAATCGCTCCCAAATCCTGAATTTTCCAGAAAATTCCTTCTTTGGAAACGATTTTCCGAAAAAATTTCAATTCCGGCTATCAGAGAGTTCCAGGTTTGAGGGATTCCGGCTAACGGAGGTATTACTACATCATACCCTTGAAATTAAAAAAAAAAGGGGGGGGAGGTATCAGTCACACTAATTACAAAACAATACGGTGCCTGAGAGATAGCGAGTGCTAGCAACAGTGTTAGGGAGCAGGAACGAATGGCTAATACTACTCTGTAAACAAGACACCGGAAATATACTAAGGAACAATAGCTCATCTGGGATTGAGGGTGGGGTTTTGGGGGGAAAATTAATTATTTTTTGACAATGTTTTATTTACCCGGCACCAAACGAAACTAAATAATATGGGAATTTTAGTGAAATTGTATACTGTCGTTATAAAGGGATTGCGGGGTGACGAGCGCAGGTGGTGGCAAGTTGTCCTCTCCTCCTTCCTCCTCTGCTACCTCATCTCTTTGGCTACACACCTAAATGTAGTTTTATACCATAATATAATTCATATTCTATTCCCATAATTTATTCATCTTAATCTATTTCATAATTTATTCCCTTCCAATAACAACACTCGACTTTCCAGAACAGCGTGGTTTTTCAGATACATTCCGTATTCAAATTATTTAATTCATTAAAAAATAAAAAAAAACAGCAATACACTATCTGATTTACCTAGGGTTTAGTGTACAATATTATATATCAACTGTTTTATTATATATTCACATAATGTTCCTGTTTCATTATACTTTTTTCAACAGCAACATTCCATTACCGTATATCTCGGCCTACAAGGCGACGGGGTGTAAAAGACGGCCCCCAAAATTTCCATTTAAAAAGTAGCTTTTGAGCCCTATTCGCTGTATAAGACCGGTACCCCAAATGTGACACTTACCATTGGGAGCTTACTGACCCAGTAGTCCTTTACCAACCATCCCATTGACCAGTGCTGTTTACACATCCTTGGTTTTTTAAAATAAAGCCAATTCACTTCAAGTAATGGCATCAAACGTTACCGGTTGATGTAGTGTAAACACGTGACTCACTTAAAAGTTTGTTATTTAACTTGAACTAATGTCGGTGTCGAATACAATTGTTTCATTTACTTAAAATGGATTTACCGATTTATTTGTTTATTTATATCATACTGTAATATATTAAACACACTGGAAGTATTTTCTTTAATTTATAAGCTTGCTTCAGCGAGCTACAGTATTCTAATTCAATAGTGTTTCATTAGGATTTGAGTGAAAAAGATTACTGTACATACTTACTACATACATTTATTACACAAATATATATATATATATATATATATATATATATATATATATATATATATATATATATATATATATATATATATATATATATATATATATATATATATATATATATATATATATTCACAATATTTTATAATTGCAGTCATGTACTGAATATTCTATGTAAAAAATATAAATTTTAAATGAATTATTTCTAGTGTGGTCGACTTCCTACACAAAGATGGGCTATAAATAGCCGTCTTATCTCCCCTCTGTTCTGAGAGAGAAGGTCTTGGTAAATAACTTTTGTTTGTTTATTTTCATTGTTTGTCAAATTTATCATGTTGTATCAAAGTAATATTACTAAAAGTTTTAGGCAGCTACCAAACAGGGAGATTCTACTGCCTGGGAAGATATTGGAAGCATAATGTACAGTATTGTCTAATGGTAGACCCTACTTCCATATGGCATCACGAAAATTGTGACCAAGTCTTAGGTTGCTGATTTATCTTACTGCCTCATTTACACACAATTGCTGAGTTTCAATTGTTTCTCTTCCTTTGACAACACAACATACATACAATATAATGTTTCACCTTTGATCTTTTTTCCATTTATTTATGGTTGGTTATTTAAAATAATGCCAATTCACTTCAAGTATTGGCATCAAATTTTACCCGCTGTTGTACACTAGTGACTCACTTAAGCGTCAGTTATTTAACTGGAACTAATGTTGGTGTGAGTAAAATATTTCCATTTACTTGAAATAGATTTGCCGATTTATTTGTTTATTTATTTAGCTATAATATATTGTAATACATTAAACACACTGCAAGTATTTTCTTTAATTATATACTTGTTTCGCGAAAAAGGGAGGCTACCATTATACCTGGTAGGTGAAGTTGACCAGACATTTATGATCATTAAGGACCAAACTCCGAATCCATGACGTGACTTCTGTTAATCATTCTCATCCTAAATTTACCACTGTCGGTAGTTTCAAGAATTAACTCAGTCATTTACTGAATATTCTTTGTAAAAAAATTAATTTTAAATTAATTATTTATAGGAGATAAGTATTATGATCAGTAAATATACAGATATGCATTACTGACCACCTCCGAACACAAGGACGGCTAAAAATAGCCACAGGCGGTCACTGTCAAGGTCGCTTTCCCTTTCTCGTTACTGGCAAATGGGGGGGGGGGTGATGATAGCAGCTGTGTTTATTACCGGGGTATATTGTTCTTTTACGATATGTTAGACTGGTTTATAATACATTTTTATTATTTTAATATACCGGTAATCTTCATTTTAATCCAGCTTCCCAAATGTAAGTTTCAGTATAAAATAATTAGTGGTAGGACCTTGTGAGTGGTTTACCATGTTTCCATCACCACTCTTGACACGCTAAACCGCAAAATTTAAGAGGTAAGAATTTTATCTCTGGTGCTTAAGACGACCCCCTAACTTTGGGCTGATTTTCTTTTTGTTCAAATTCCGTCTTGTAGGCCGAGATATACGGTATATCTTGGTTGGCATTTTTTTTTCAAATATATTGGTGATTAGTGTTAATTATTTGCATATGCAAAACGTCAATATAGTATTGTATGGTTACAAAAATACCGATAATCTCATTATCCACAAGAAGAGCTAAATAGTATTTGAGTTGTCATTACATTTTTCTGTTGATTTGGAGATTGTGGAAATATCTGGTATCTCCCAAGGAGTTGTTGAGGGAAGCCTTATATAAAATTATTAATGGATTATTGGCAAAGACCCCAAAGAACACACACTGACAAAATTTACACCATTTAAGATAAATAATAATATTTTGAGGTAATTTGATTATTTTTAGGGCATTTCAGAAATAAATTTATGGTAAGTATGTTTGTGTATTGAATAAAGGTAAGACATAGGCTGCTTAGCACCTCAGAGTAAAACACCATGTCAATGCCAAACATATGGTAGTTACTGCTTACCTTTCTGCTTCTTCAGTGTACATCTTATCATGTATTTCATAAACTAATGATTAAAAATATTTCATCAAACTACCCGCAGGCTTTATGAGTCCATATGCTGTAAATGAAATATAAATGAATTTCGTGCATAGACTTGAGGCCCATCCCCACTGGGTTAGCTACCACATTATACAGGTATACAAAATAAGAGTTATTCCAAAATCCGAAAATATCCCAAATCCGAGACCCTTTCAGCCCCCCCAAGTATTTTTGGATAAGGGATACCCAACCTGTATTCCAAAGTAAATAATGTAATACTCTACCACCAATGACTTTCTATGTCAACATGTTATTTAAAAGTCAACCTATCACACAATTTCAACTGAGTATTCCTTCATATAACGTGAAAGGCAATAACTTAACTAATATAATTTGCCTTATTAATAAAAAGAGGAAATAAGCAAAAAACTGTCACTGACCACATTAGCAAAAGAAACTTAATGAGGTGTCGTGCAAGAACAAAGCGGACACATATGTTTTTTTATCTTCATAGAATGATATTTGCAAGTACAGTACATGTAGTACACTATTACTGACCTTAAAACACTGAGGTAAGCTTACATAGCTACAATTTCCAGACTTAAAATCTAGATGCTACAACCACAAATATTGGTTATAGGAAACATTAATAAGAAAGGAAAGTTGAAATGTTTTTACACAATGTGCAGCTGCAGGATATACAGTAAACACTCTTCTTACTGTATATCCTGTAGTAAAGTCTTCAAAAATTGCTTACATTTCATGAGAAGAGCAAATCACATAAGACCAGGTGCAAAATAAATAACCTCAATGAAGACAAAGCAGCCAGCATATTTTATTTTTATTTATGATCCAGCTCTGTACAGTTAATCATACAGTAGGATTCACCAAGATTGTTTTTGCCCTATGTTAATTAACATACATTGTATAAATAGCAATTAAAATAGAATATTACTACTGGATTCAGTTTTCCATATAGAACTTCGGAATAATGAAGACAAATTTGGGCTACCTAGGTACTCAGGAGACTGGCTTTGTGGTACAATGGGTAACATACATTAGCGATCACCAGAGTTGTAAAGTAAATAAATTTACTTGAGTACTGTACTCAAAAAAAGCATTTGGGTATTTACTTTTTAAAAAGTACTCAAATTTGTTAGTACTTTTACTTAAGTATGGTTTTCTAATACGTTTACTCCGATACAATTGAAAAAACAGAAATTGTTATACGTTACATGCAAAACAATAAAATACTTCTTAATTCAATAATTAATTATTAACCATGGTAAGAGTCGTCTGAGTGGAGCCGTGAATGGTACAGTGTGGGGGGAGACACCATGGTCACATACCTATAGGTCTCGTGACAGTGGCCGTGACAGTGGCCATGACAGCGGACTTTCCCTTCAATCTTCTTGTGTCCATTAGCACCATAACAAAGCATCACCCCTTTCATTTAGAATTCAGATATCCAGATACAGTTGGAAGGATAGCTACTTCAACAAACCCCACTGTCGATCTCTAAGTGTTACAGGGGAGTTAGTAACGAGAATTGGTGGAAACTACTGTATATCCAATACCTTGTGAACACAAATACTTACCCTAGGCCTAGAAAATGTAAGTTTATATTTCTGTTAAAAACAAATAATTAAATGTCTATGCACTCATAGAATTTTTCTGAATTCCTAACTACAAGTACTTACTTTTTTTGTTTGAAGACAGTTTCTCTTTTAGGTCTGCTGGAACACTTTTACTTGGAGCTTCAGTTGGTACTGTTATCACATCTGTTTCAAGGAAATGACACTACAGTAGTTTCACATTCTATTTAAATATTTGCTGTTAACTTTGAAATAATATTAAGGTCAACAGTATCTAAAAGTACACCAAAGCACAAATAAGCCAGCTGTAAATTCTTTGTTGCTCTAAGAAATGCATGAATTAGGAAATACAGTACAGTACCAGCATGAACATTAAACACATGGCCTCATGGGTATTGATATAGTGTGTAATTATTAAGCATAAAAAACATGTCACTTTGATGGTATCAATAATAATTTATATAAAGGCAATTTTACCAAGGAAAGCCAGCAAAGCCAGGAGGTGCTATTTCCAGTAGGGTTTTTTACTTTATATGCCAACAGCATCTAGTGCTACCATCCAAGTACTAAAAAGACTCAATGTTCCATAAAAAGTTCTCAATACAACATAAACAATAACACCTAACACACATACACTGTACGTGCAGTACCACAATGAAAGCATATAAAGGTGTTTACAAGAATGGACAGCACGGACATAAATCCTGGGGAATGGGGACGTGCATCCCCCTCCTACAATTAGATTGGGAGATTTCCTATACAGTTTCTCCTCGACTTACAACATATTCGACTTCCGACAGCCCGGACATACGATTGCCATGGTCATATAAAATATTTTTCACATTATGTATTTTCGAGTCCCGACATTTGGTCGTAATGTGACGCCGTACGACAGTTTGGGCTGGGCCACCTCCTGGTGTACAGCATCCATGCCGTAGCCCACTCAGTTGGTTTTTGGCCGTCGTTGTTGTTAGTGATCGCGCTGTGTACGGACAATTTTTTTTGTAATTCCCTTTAAAATGACTGGCAAGCGTAAAAGTGAGAGTTCTCGTGGTGCTGAGAAGAAAAAGAGACAGTCGATTACTTTTGAGATGAAAATGAAAACAATAATGCAATATGAATATGGAAAAACGGTAGCAACCATTTCACGCGACCTTGGCTTCTCTCACTCAACGATATCAACAATTTTGAAGGATAAGGAACGAATTTGTGAGGTAGTAGAAGGATCAGCACCTATAAAGGGAACAAAAAAAGAAAAAAGAAAAAAGACAAGGTCCTCTTTATGAGATGGAGAAATTACTTGTGATGTGGATAGAAGATCAGCTGCAAAAGTGCATACCCTTAAGCCTTCTAACCATACAGGCTAAGGCATGAAGCCTTTTCGAAAGCCTGAAAGAGCAGGCAGGGGATAAGTGCGACCAAAACTTCACAGCAAGTCATGTGTGGTTTCAAAGGTTTAAAAAACGTTACAATTTGCACAGTGTAAAGGTGAGTGGAGAGGCAGCAAGTGCTGCTGAAGCTTTTAAGGAGGAGCTAGATCGTGTCATCGTGGAGGGAAATTATTTGCCTGAGCACATATTTAATGTGGATGAAACTGGCTTATTCTGGAAGCGCATGCCAGAACGGACATACATCCACAAAGAGATGAAAACCATGCCGGGAATCTAGGCATTCAAGGACTGAATCACACTTCTGTTGGGGGGAATGTAGCTGGTTTCAAGGTAAAACCCTTCATGATATACCATTCAGAGAACACAAGGGCTTTTAAAAATGTCAGCAAGCACACACTGCCAGTGTTTTATTGCAGTAATAAGAAAGCATGGATGACCCTAGCACTGTTTGAGGATTGGTTCTGGAGTTGTTTCATTCCACAAGCCAAGGAGTATTGTCTGCAACAAGGGGTTGCCTTCAAGATTTTATTTATTTTAGATAATGCTCCAGGACACCCACCACACCTGGATGACCAGCACCCTGATGTTAAGGTAGACTACCTTCCACCTAACACTACAGTACCTCTATCATCCAACCCATGGATCAAGTTGCTATTGCTGCTTTTAAAGCGTATTATTTACATACAACCTTTGCCCAGGTTATTAATGCTACTGAAAATGCTCGGAGAGTTTTGGAAGGACTACAACATTTTGCAATGTACAAAGAACATAGCTGCAGCATGGGATGAAGTTACAGGTCAGTGCATGAATGGAACATGGAGAAGGTCCTGAAAAGATATACTGTATGAACAGTTTCAAAGGATTTAATGAAGATAGTGCAGCTGGGTAAACAGCTGGAGTTAGAAATTGATAATGAAGATGTTGAGCAGTTGGTGGAAAGTGTCGCAGAAGAGCTAAGTAATGAGGAACTTACTGAACTGGAGGCACAGAAATTTGCAGAGGAATTTGCTACTACTGTATTAATAAGGGGAGGCAAATGTTTGAAGAAATAGTTCAAAATGTTGAGCGCTTTGCAAAAGTTGACAGACTGATCCAAGATGCACTTGCTTGCTACAGGGAGAATTACAATGAAAAGAAAAGGCAAACTGTGCAGTCTAAATAGGACATAAATTTTAAGAAGTCCCCCACTGCTGTCTCCTCATGCCCACCACTGCTACCTCTTCACTCCCTAAAGATGATCCAATGCCTTCAACAAGCAAGAATGTTAGCCTGTCTGAAGAAAGTGAATTTGACCCACCCGGCCCTGTTTCCTCCTCTGTTTCATCCAATTAATGTAGTCTCCATGCTTAATCAAAAAATTATTGAGGCCCGTGTGCATTCAGCTGACTACATTAAAGGTAAGTGCACAGTAACACTTTATTCAATTTTCATTTTTGATTACTTTTACTGTACTGTATTTCATTTTAGAATTTCTATGTATTATTTTTGCCTTTTCGACTTACGACCTGGTCGTCGGGACGGAACCCCGTTGTAAGTCGAGGAGAGACTGCATACAGTAAGTCCTCACTTAACGTCGTCCCGCTTAACATTGTTTCGGTACTACGACACTGAACTTTTGAAACCAAAAATTAGTTTAATGTCCCAGTGATCCGATACTACCTCGCTTTGCGTCGTCACGACTAATTTTTACGGCGCATCACCCGCTCCTGCCTGGCCACGCCACGCTCTTTCGGCTTGGCTCGCTGCCCTTACTAGGTAGTAGGTATTAGGCAGCTACCAAACAGGGAGGTTCTCCCACCTGGGAAGTTATTGGAAGTATAATGTGTTGTCTATGGTAGACCCTGCTGCCACATGGCATCTCGAAAATTGTGACCAAGTCCCAGGTTGCTGATCTGACTTTCTGCCTCATTTACACACAATTGCAGGGTCTCAATTATTTCTCTTACTATTGACAACACAACATACATACTGTATATTGTTTCTCACTTTTGATTTGTTTTTAATTTTGTATTTTTTTATGGTTCTTTATTATTATTGTTATTATTATTGTTATTACGTATTATTATTGTTATTACGTATTATTATTATTTTTATTATTACATTTTCGCTCCCTAGGCCCCGATGTGGGCCAGTGACCTGTGCCTGGGTGGGCTAATCCCCGAAAAAATACAAACAAAAAAAACTCGCGGAAAGTCACAGCAACCCCAAAACGTCCCCAAGCCAGTCTCTGTTACGACTTCACATAATTCGTGTGTGCTTAAGTGTTTTTGTTCTAAAAATGTATTCTAACCATTCGAAATGGCTTCCAAGCGCCCATCAAGTGTTACTGATGCTAGTGAAGCGAAGAGGCAACGTAAGACCATTACCCTTGCTACAAAAATGGATGTATTAACCCGATTTGAAGGGGAACGTGCTGTGGACATAGCCGCTGTGCTTTGTCTGACCCCCACAACGGTGCGTACTATCCGGACCAACGCTGACAAGATTAAGGTTAGTGCTGGAAAAGGTTCTTCTCTGAGTGCTACCAAGACAACTCGTACTAGAAGCACTGTGATAGAGAAGGTGGAAAAGATGCTGGCAATGTGGATGGAGGACCAGAATCAATGCCATGCCCTTGTGAGCCTTTTGGTTATCCAGCATAAAGCCAGATCCTTGTTTGATGACTTAGGCAGAAGAGGGTGGAGGATCGAAGGAAGAGACTTTCACGGCCAGCCGAGGATGGTTTCAACGATTTAAGCGCCGTTATAACTTCCACAACATAAAGATGACTGGTAAAGCTGCCAGGTCAGATACGGTTGCTGCCTAGACATTACTGCCAGAATTCAAACGGATCATCCATCAAGGAGGGTACTCACCAAAGCAAGTCTTCAATGTAGATGAGACTGGTCTCTTTTGGAAGAGGATGCCTGAGAGGACCTATATCTCCAAGGAGGAGAAAAGAGCGCCAGGTTTTAAAGCGGCAAAAGACCGCTTGACGCTGCTGCTTGGCGCAAACCCTGCCGGTGGCTTCAAGCTGAAGCCTATGCTGATTTCTCGCACTGCCAACCCACGGGCCCTGAAAGGATACTCTAAGGATCACCTTCCTGTCATTTACAAGGCAAACAAAAAGGCATGGATAACCGGCGCCATATTTAGCCAGTGGTTAAACATGTATGCCGTCGCTGCACTGAAGGAATACTGTGGCAAGGAGAACCTTAACTTCAAAATTCTTCTGATCCTTGACAATGTTCAAGCTCATCCAACCAATCTCAACGACTTGCATGAAAGTGTAAAAGTTGTACTATATTACCTGCCTCCCAACACGACTGCACTAATGCAGCCTATGGACCAAGGCGTCATCGCCACATTCAAGGCGTATTATTTATGCCATACCATGGCCCAGCTGCTCAAAGCTACAGACAGAGAAAATAAACCAACGATCCAAGAATATTAGCACGGCTTCAACATTCTTCATGGAATTGACAACATTGGCAAGGCATGGGAAGAGGTTTCAGAAAGTTGCCTGAATGGTGTGTGGCGTAAACTGCGGCCCGAGTGCGTTAAAAGTTTTACGGGATTCACAGACTTAATCCCAGCTGTGAATAGGGATATCCTCAGCTGGGCTAGAGAGGCAGGCTTTGATGAGCTGGAATCAGAGGATATTGAGGACGTCCTGGCATCCCATACAGAAGAGCTCACCAACGAAGATCTGCAACAATTAACAGAACACAGTACCATTGAACTCAATTACGACGAAGAACCTCAACGAATGCTAACTTCCAAGAGGCTGGGAGAATCGTTGAACATGTTCCAGCAAGCAATGCAAATGCCTCTAGATGACGACCCAAACAGAGGGCGTAGCTCAAAGGTTCAACGCAGCATTGGGGATAGTCTTGGTTGTTACTCCGAGATCTATAAGATGACGAGTAGCACCAAGCAGTCAACACCGGATGAATTTTTTTTTCGCGAGACGGCAGAAGGAGCTTCTTCACAACAGCCAGCAGTCGAGGATGAGCAAATAACAATGGAGGAGGAGCAAACAACAATGGAGGATGAGCAAGCAGCGGCGGAGGAACCTCAGTCAGAGCAGGAGGAGGCAGCCGCAGAGTTTGTGACTCACCGCCGTCCTCCTCCGCCCTTCTCTGCTACCACCATCCACCTCCTCTGCTTCACTACCCACCACACACTCGCTATACCACCTCCGCCCATCGGTGAATACCAATACAAACTTAGTACTGTACAGTAGGCTCTCGCCAATAATGTCTAAAACAGTGGTTCTCAACCTTGTTTGCCCCATGCACCCCTTTCACCATATGTCAGAATGTCATTCCCCCCTCCTTTCCAAGATTGTCTGCCTCAAAAAGTGCATTCCAAATAATATGCATATAATACTGAAAATCCTTTATTTTTTCCATATTACAGTAAAAGTCCAAAAATCCGGATGCCAGGAATCCGGACCACCCGAGAATCCGGACTTTTTGAAAACTCAAACTTTTTAAATTTAGCGGTCTTTTGTGGGTTACGTGAATGAATGGAGTTGCTTTAAAAAATTAATTTACATAATTCTAGTAATATAAGTAATTGTAAATTACAGGTAGCTAATTTTGTTAGTTTGAAATTAGCTTGAACTGAAATGTAAAATTTGAGGCACTATAAATCTTTTGTGTGTATGTGTGCATGCGTGAATGCCACAGCTGCACAGCGACAACAAACGACCACACGATCGCCACTTTAAAACAAGCAATCAAACTGTGACAACGTATGTAATTTTGAGTCCTACTCTTTCCATGTACAGAGTACAGGCCCATAATAATGGCCCCTAAAGTAGATAAACTTTAATGTGTGAAGAGAAAGAAGAACACATTGAAATTGAGTGGCAAACTTGAAATAATTAAGAAACCAGAACATGGTGTGAGCAATGCTGTTCTAATGGAAACATACGACATTGGAAAGTCTACAATTTATGATATAAAAAAGGCAAAGAATAAAATTCTAGAATTCATAGCTTCTTCTGAGCCTTACATTAAAATTGCTGAAAGAAAAAGTTTACATTGGCCCAAATTAGAAAATCTTGATAAAGTGTTGCACGAATGGTTTTTGTTAAAACGATCAAAAGGTATGGCAATTTCTGGGCCGATACTTATTGCCAAAGCAAAGTCTTTTAAGTAGCAAATGAACATCGAATCAGAGTGCGCATTTAGTGATGGATGGCTTAGGAATTTCAAGACTCGTCATGGTATTAGACAGTTTGTTTACATTTTTGTCTAGTGTTGACTTTGTTTCTTTAAAACTGCTCGTTTTGATAAATGAAGCATGCTTTATTTGCTAATGAATAAACTATCAAAATGTACCTGTTCATCTCATCTTTATTCCTCCTTAAATTTTAATTTTAAAAGTACTGCCTGAGAATCCGGAAAATCCGAAAATCCGGACCTACCCAATCCCCAAGCAGTCCGGATTTTTGGACTTCTACTGTAGTATCAGTTTCCCCCCCTCTGAAAACCTGACGGGGGAAATTCCCCCCTTGTTGAGAACCCCTGGTCTAAAAGGTGCCTGTAATGTTTATGTACAGTAACTTTTTCATAGGGCAAAGGGAGGCTCAGGAACCTAACTCCCGTATTTTATCTATTTCTTATGGGGAAAATTGATCCACTTAACGTTTTGCATAACGTCGCGTGTTCAGGAACATAACCCCGACGTTAAGCGAGGACGCCCTGTACTGTATACAGTATAATCCCCCCCCCCCCTTACAATTCATATAATTCAGAAGAAAAATGAAAACATTCCAATCTTTTACACATTTTTTTTTATTTAACAAGTCACTTTTAGGCAGTAGGCAGCTACCAAACAGGAAGGTACTACCACCTGGGAAGATATTGGAAGCATAATGTGTTGTCTAATGGTAGACCCTGCTGCCATGTGGCATCACAAATATTGTGACCAAGTCCCAGGTTGCTGATCTGACTTTCTGCCTCATTTGCACACAATTGCAGGGTCTCAATTGTTTCTCTTACTATTGACAACACAACAAACATACAGTACAGTACATTGTTTCTCACTCTTGAATTTTTTTCAAATTTGTACGTCTTTATTATTAGTACAGGTATTGTTATTAGTATTTTATTATTTTTTTATTATAAATTTTATTTATTATGAATTATTATTATAAATATTATTACATTTTCGCACCCCCAGGCCCTGGTGTGGGTTAGTGACCTGTGCCCGGGTGGGTTAATCCCAGCAAAAAATCATTTCTCTGTTTTGATGCTTAAGAATCATTTTGAGAGAAAGGGCAGCCTGAGGTCAACATTTAGTGTTAGTTGTAATCCTAACAGTGAGGTCAGAGAGGGTCAACTTTCTTGTGTGTCATTAACAGTTGTCAATTCAGGTCATCTTTCCCCTCCCCTAACCGACACCTGGCAGCGAGATCACAGTTTCTGGTCACAAGGGTTGACACAATATTATTGCTAATGCAAAGAAACCCACAATGGCAGACAAAATGTTTATTCCAAAGTGTGGCACAGTCATCACTACAAAAGCCCCTTATATATACAGGCAGTCCTCGACTTACGACAGGGTTAGGGACCCAAATCCAGGTCGTAAGTTGAATTGGTCATAAGTCGAAAATGCGAAAATAATACATAGAAAATCTAAATTGGGTGTCTCTTTTTCTTCTCAGCACCACAAAACTCTCACTTTTAAGCTTGCCAGCCATTTTAAGGGGAATTACAAAAAAAAATTTTGTCAGCACACGGCGCAATCAATAACGTCGGGACTCGAAAATACGTAATTTGAAAAAATTTTGGTACGACTGGGGCGGTCATATGTCCGGGTGGTCGTAAGTCGAGGAGTACCTGTAATGCACATGTTGTCACCTCACATCACCCCCATCACCACAGCAGTCACCTCTGACCAGGTTAAGTAGCACATTAGCCAGTAGAGACTTGACCACCAGGGCCCAGATTCACTAGCAGGTTATAAACTTCGTAGGTGTTTAAGGAATTCATATCTCCTGTGGTAGTGATGCACCAGAGTGTTGCAAAATCCACAAGTTAATTTAAAATAGCCGAGTTTTCTTCAAAATATACAGTGGCTTTGGAGATCTTGTAAGCTTCTGCAAGGCAGAAATATGGTCACTTAAATCAAGATTTCTCTATCATATCCATCATCCATAACAAAGCATCACCCCTTTCTATTAGAATTCAGACATTGAGATACAGTTGGAAGGATAGCTACCTCAACAAACCCCACTGTCGATCTCTTAAGTGCTACAGGGGAGTTAGTAACAAGAATTGGTGAGAACTATTAGTTATAAACCATTTCCAATACTTTGTAAACACAAATACTTTCCTTAGGCCTAGAAAAATGTACGTTTAGGTTTCTGTAAAAAAAAATTATTAAATGCATATGTGCTCCTAGAATTTTACTGAATGCCTTACTACAAGTACTTACCCGTTTTCTTTTGAAGCAACTCCATGTTTGAGTCGTCTGTGTTATCTGCATAAGTTTCACCTTTTGGAGTTTCAGGTACTACTGTGTTATCTGTTACAGGGAAATAACAATACAGTATCTGGACAGTAATTACACCTGCTGTTATACATTCTACATAAATATTTGTTGTTAACTTTGAAACAATATTAACACTCTTGGGTTTGGGTAGGCACTCTCCTGTGAGACACTCGGGGTCTGGCCTGTCACTCACCTAACGTGAGTGCACCACACGAGAGATAATTGTATGTAATGAGTCCTAGAAAGCTTGCTATTTTAAATAAAATGGTGGAATTTAATGCATTAGTATTGTAAATAAATTATCTACAACAGTTTTACTGTTTATGAGTACAGGTGTTCCTCTACTTACGAACGAGTTACGTTCCTGAGGCTTGTTTGTAAGTCCAATTACTTTTACTTTTATCCTCTTTACCACTGATGGGCTCGTTAGCCGCTTCGGCGATCGGTCACGTCTCTGTTTCTTTTCCTTTTCTTTTATCCTCTTCACCAAATGATCGACTCGTTAGCCGCTTGGGTGATCGGTCACATCTCTGTTACGCACTGTTAGCAAGTACATGGCATGCACCGGCTCCTGAATGTACCTGAACCTGCTCTGGTGTTGGTCAAGTTTGGTCTTGAAAGAGCTCACACTCAGTGCCGTCACAGCACGTTCTGGTAGATTGTTCCAAGAGTTCACAACTCTCACTCCGAAAAAGTTTGCCCTCACACTTTTCTGGACTTGCGGTGGCTTCTTCAATCTTGAGCTGTGACCCCTTGTGGGGTGAGCGTCCTCCAGCCCCACGTAAGGACACTCGACTGAGTAGTGCCCCTTGAGATGCTTATACACCTAAATTAGGTCTCCCCTTGCCCGTCTGTAGTATAAGCTAGGCAAGTTCAGGCGCTCTAATCTCTCAGGGTAGCTGAGGTGCCGAAGTGCAGGCACCAGTCTGGAGGCCCTCCTTTGAACATTTCTCACCAACTGACAGTCCCTAGCATATCTAGGGGACTAGACGAGGTGACAGTACTCCAGATGGGGAAGCACTTCACTCTTGAAGATCGTTACGAGAGATGGCCGTCCAGATATCTGAACGACTTTCTTATAAGACCCAATAATTTATTTGCCTGATTTACCTTCTTCTCGCAATGGCCCGAGAACTTTAGCTCATTGTCAACATACACACCTAAGTCCTTCTCACATTCAGTCTCAAATAGTGAAGCTTCTTCATCCCAATGGGACATATGATACGCCTCCTTACCGTTGGTACGCCCAAGGTGCATCCTCTTAAACTTCATGACATTGAATCTCAGCAGCCATTTCTTCGACCATTCTTGGAGCCCACAGAGGTCCATTCTGCAGCTCTTCACAGTCCGCTTGGTTCTTGATTTCCAAAATAACTTGGCGTCATCGGCAAACATTTGTGTGGAGGAGTGTACAATGTCAGGCATGTCATTTATGAAATAAACAAACAACAGCAGGCCCAATACACTGCCCTGTGGTACCCCGCTTGTGACAGGTACAGATTATGTTTTCGTGCCATTAATCACCACACACTGCTTGCGGTCCAACTTTACTCCTGCAGATACCACACACAAGTGATCGCGGGCACCTTCATGCCCAGTGAAAGTATGAACGCTCGTGCTTGGCTAGCGTACAGCGAATGAGGGTGCGCCAAGTCCGTAGACTTGCATGGCTAATTAGGGTGCGCCAAGTCCGTAGACTTGCATCGTTTTCCATCGTAAATAAAATGGTTAATTAATGCCTTCCTAAAGAAACCATCGACATGGAACCAGGTTTGTTCCACTCCACGAACTTTTTTGCGATATTTCCACCAAGTTTGATGAAAAACGATTGTGCCATTTCGGCTGCCCAGAACAGACAGACAGACACACGCCAAGTCCTATAGTATATTAGATATTGTAAAGCATGAAAAGATTATGGATATTTAGTTCAGCTATACCCTTTAATACAGCCTTAAAACCTGGCTCACTCTTCTCCTCTTAGGTAATGTTTGCTCAATCTGGAATTTTCTTCAAAATAATCCAGTCTCATCCACATTAAACATCTGTTCTGGCAGGGAACCCTCCTCAGTGGTGATGTTTGTATCTCTTAAAGTTTGTAAGTTGAACGTTCTTAAGTAGAGGAGCAGCTGTAATCATGATAAAATAATTATTTCTATACGTATTCGCAATTATAACAAAACTTTTGTTTAAGTTGTATGAAAATGTTTATACCCCTGTACATCACTTTATACCTTCATTATTTCATGTGATTACAATTCCACTAAGGTTGGGTTAGGTTTCCTTTATAAATAACCACTTTTTAACACATTTACACAAATTACAAGTGTCCACTATAAAAAAAAAGTGAAATTGAAGCGTTTTTAAAATCGTTCTCCACGAAAAGTCGGTCGCGGGTCAGTTTCTTCAAATATGACCTTCATTACCTTGGAAAATTATTGGTTTCAAGGAAATGACAATTTAACACTTCCCCTGCAATTTAAGATTTCCTGTGGAAATACAGGTCAAATTAGCAGGAAACACACCAAAATACATCAGAAAAGTAGGTTTTCATGCTAAGAACACCAAACACATTTTTACAACTTAAGAAATGTTAAGTAAGGTTTTCAAAGGTTTCCAGCCGATCAGCGGCAAAGAAGATAAAAGTAAAAGTTTGGCTGTTCTTTTTTAAGTGTTTTACTCCACAATTTCCCTCTACTGCAAAGCTTTGCCCACTTTGAGCAACTAACATGTGGAAGTTTATCGGATAAAATACTCGAATGAACACAGTGGATATTTTGCTGTTTTGTTCGCCGTTAATGGATGATTAGCCAATCAGAGAATACTCCTGGTAAAATAGCATTAATAGGAACTTAGCCAGTCACAGCAAAAAGTTAATATTCGTCCGCTGGTTGGCCGCAGGATCCCACCATGTTTACTCGAGGCTACACCCCTCACTTTGAGTCACTTGGTTCCTTTGGTATGAGAATAATATATACCTGTATACAGTATATATTTATTTATTTATTTATTTTTTTGGTGCTCTACTCAAATTTTATCTCCATTGTTGTGCAAATTAGCAGTTTGGTAAAAATGAAAATGCTCATTGTTTTGCAAAAACTGCTTATTTGCACAAGAAATGAAGGTTATATTTGAGTAAAACACCAAAAAAACACCAAACAAACCAATTCTCGTACCAAAAACTGAGGACAGCCAATGGACGAATATTTACCCAGTAATGTATCCACTGCCATAATTACATATCAAAAACAAGAAACCCAATATCAAATTATATCCTGTACTATAAATTGACCTCCAAGAATTACCGGTATTTTTTTACAAGTAGAGACAACCAATGAGCCTCATAAATTTTTTCTTACCAATTAATTTAATTGTCCATTTTATACTTTTATGTTCTATACAAAATGCACGCAACTGTTTAATAACGGCAATAGAACAGTTGTTAAATTAACTTTTTCCAATACTGTATATCAAATCTCCCGAGTCAGTCAGGACTATCACTCAAGTTTCTATGTCATGCTTGGTTATGTTAATGTCACGCTTGTCCTCCTTGCATCATATTCTGAAACCAATAAACAGAGGGGAATTGATTTAGCCAAACAGCGCTCGAGGGGTACTCCCACCGTTCAGTTCGAATATGGCAAACCTCTGTGCTAGCTGCTCACTTGATCAGTGACGTGTAATAACGCCCTTGTCCGTGATTTTTTTGAGAGAACACAGTGTTTTGGCAAAATCTGTGGACTGTCCCGAGTGTCAAGAGCCTTGTACTTTTCGTCCTGACAGGTATTCTCGGTATTGTGGCAACTGGAAAAAAATTACCAAAACCAAGACAAGGAAACAGTATCATTACACTGTTTCTGATCACAAGGGCGCATTCATTGAAAACATACATTTTGAGTTAGGTTAGATTAGATTAGTTTTGGTGCTTTTTGGTTGTTGAGTGATGTGTTTTGCCGGTGTCTTTTGTCGTAATTAGAAGGAATTTGACCATGATTTTTGCCTCCAATTAGCCGTGTGTGCTTACCCCACCCAAAAACCCCGATTTCCTTCAGGTCCCCCATATAGGAGGGAAGGGGGGCATTACTCAAAAATGGCTGATTTGCAACAACAATCATGGTCAAATTCGTTCAAATCACAACAAAAAACATTGAAAAACAAAAAATGGTAAAGGTTTACAAAAGCACTACCACCAGCAGGAAATGTGCGATTTGGTTTAAATTTTTTCGACATACTATTAGTATGACATTAAACACAGAAATAGAAATGACAATGCATAAAACCTACTAGAACCTAGTAGAACCTGACCTAATAAACCCAACCTATTGGGTCAGGTTCTATTAGGTTCTATGCATTATCGTGTTCATTTATGTGTTTAATATTATGCTAATAGTGTGTACAAAATATTTAAACGAACAAAAGTAAGCGAAAGAACCAAGGAATCCCTAACTAACGATTGTCACGAGGCTGTAAAAAATACTAGAGATGATATAGAAAACAGAATGTATTTAATAAGTAAACAAAAGAAGAATAAACCGGTATATACATAATTCTAAACTTAATAAAGATGCGTAATTATTTTATTTTAAAGGATCAGAAGTAATGGAACACAATTTATGCAGTTTTTAGAGGAAGGAGCAATGGCTGCGGTAGGGCAATTGTGAAGAAAATGGCGTTTGAAATGCACCTAGACATAATTTTAACACCATAACATTAGAGTTGGCCGTGTTTTTACCCCGTAATTTCCCTCATCTTTGATGCCCTGCCTACTACCAAGGAATTTAAGATCGTACGATAGAGTAAATGAAAAAATCCTAAAAAAATACAGTACTTAAAAGTATAATACATATTAAGTTGTCATTTCTTTTAATATACTTAAAATCACCAAAACAATAAGTATAGCAAAAATAAAGAATAACAAACAATGCGTTGTCTAATGGTAGACCCTGCTGCCATATGGCATCCAGAAAATTTTGACTAAGTTCCAGGTTGCTGATCTGACTTTCTGCCTCATTTACACACAATTGCAGTCTCAATTGTTACCCCCTACTATTGACAGCACAACATACATATATTGTTTCTCATTTTTTATCTTTTTTTTTTCATTTATGTATTTCTTTATTATTATTACAATGTTGTTATTTTTATTATTATTATAATTATTAGTTTATTTTTTCATTTTCAATTTTGTATTTATTATACATTTTATATACTATGAATTATTAGTATCACATTTTCGCCCCCCAGGCCCCGATGTGGGTCAGTGACCTGTGCCCGGGTGGGCAAATCCCCGTGTAAAAAAAAAAAAATAATAATAAAAAAAATAAAATAAAAATAAAAATCTAGAGGTAACTCTGTCGTAGACCGGTATTATTGGGTCTACACACCGTTCATTCCTACCACTAATCTATTCTCATATTCGAATAAGACGTCTAATTCTAAGATAATTTTCATCTATTACATTACCGGCAGAAATGTATAATAACGGAGATAGCATATCCAAAATTTTCTCTATTTTCTTCCATTAATATTCCTCCATTATTGCCTGCCTCACCTCCAACACTGCGTGTCTCCTGCGTCTCCTTCATAAATCATCACGCGCATGCGTTCCCGTATACATCACGCGGCCACTCAAAAGCGTTTTTGTTTTTGCAACCAATTAAAATGATTTTGGGTTTAATTCGCGGTATATTTGGCCCAATCAAATTCGAGTTTTATTTTGGGTCTCTCATATTTCGAAATTCAAGTTCAGTTCCGACCATGGAAGTCTGCGATCGGTGTCACTACTTAAATTATATGGAGCTGATTGCGAGTTTTGGGGAAAAAAACGAAGAAACTATAGCAGTTTTTTGATCGCATGGTGTTCTTCCAACCTCAGTAAAGTGTACTAAGAGCTAGACAATGTAAATATTGCAAAGAACAACATATGTGGCATTGTGTAAGAATCTCAGAATCCAACAACGAACAAGAACCAGGCCAATAAGGTAAGAAATAGGTGATTCCATCATATGGTAAGAGTCAGTTAGGTTAGGTTAGGTTTTTGTTTTTCTAGTGCTTTTGGGTGTATTTTGCCATGATTTTTTTTTCGTTAAATGTCCAACGAAAAAAAGTATAAAAAAAACCCGGCTAATTTCCGCCAAAAATAAAGGTCATATTCGGTCTAAACACACAAATACACTAGAAAAATATATTTTATACTTTCTAACAGAGAACGGTGTGATAATGCAAATTTAACAGTAAGCCTTTACCCAAAAAATCCATGGTTGTCCACTTGTAAAAAATTAACGATTTACCAACTGAGCATTATTAGAAAATTATTATTATCTGGTCGACGTAGAAATAATCACATGACAAATGAAGCTATCCATGGGTTCTCTGACTGTCAAATTAGGAAAAGTAACTAACTATATAGGTCTGAAAACATGATTGCCCACAAACAATATATTTGGGTGAATCTCGCCGCCAGAATTATGAAAGTTTGTTGTCCTAACCAGCCCATTAAGTACTTCGTTGATCAATGTTGTCATGAGAACAAAGTGACGCATGTGAGTCATACTAGACACACCCAGTCATATCCGTCTTCTCCCTTTACTATTCTTCGCTCTTGATTACATCTACCACAACTTTACCTAAACTGTACTCTCTCTCTATATATACATATAAAAGTCAGGCAAATTTGGGGATACTTTCCAAATAAGCAAAGTTTGCGTAGTTTCTGCAACCTAGTCACACGCCCTTATAGTTTATACAGTACCTATACTTAATTGCGGCTACATTTGGGTACATCACACTAGGAAAACATACGATTACAAAAAACGAACCGTTGTTGTATACGTGTTCTAAATGGTATCGTGCTCTTTTTTATTGTCAATTTAGCAGTCTGAAGTAAAAATAGAAATACTGCATCACCGAATTCTCCTAAATCAAATGCGTTGTATCAAGCAGGATGAACACAACAAAAGGAGCAGTATCTGATAGTGGATGGAACTTCGCAATAGCTAGAAAGCTGATAAATGATAAATTAAATGCTAAAATTGCGTCAGTATGTATGCTTATACGTACCATTTGTAGGCATGTTGCCGATTGAAACTTCAAGCTAAAACCACAGCCAGATGTCACAACAACTGAGCCAATGGAGTTAGGAACTTAGGACTCCTAGGTTAGGATTCTAGACTATATACACTCACTGACAATGAGTCCCTGTCCCTGACGCCTCACAGAGTACCAGTGTTGCCAAATCAGATTTCCGTATGGCGCTAAACTGACACGTAAAACGTGCTAGAAAGCGCTAGATTTATAATTTACAGAATTCTCAAGGTTTCGGGATGTATTCATTCACCCAGATCGCACGGTAATACAGAGGGAACAGCACAAAAAGCTCCTGCAGGACTTGAAGCAGAAGAGGGAGGAGTCAAGGAAGAACGGGGACAGGTGTACATGGGTTATACTCAGGGGGAGGGTAGTGGAGGCGGCACCAGCTCCGCCTACCGGACAGGAGGAGGTGAGCACATTTCTAACCACACCCTGCAAAATACAGTGTACTTAGCAAATGCTGCAGCTTCGGAGAATGGGGGGAAGCGGGTTTATTACTAAGAGCAGAGACGTTACCGAGAACAAATTCTGGCTTGAATGTCATGTACACTAATACTGACAAGTTCCTTGATAAGAGAGAGGAGTTTGAAACACTACTAAGAGTACACCAACCAGATATTGTATGTGTTGTAGAACTGTTGTACAAGAACAGGAGAATCGACCCAGAGGAATGTGAGTTCAGTATTGCTGGATATGACTCATTTACGAACCTTTCTCAAGAAACTTGCAAGCGGGGTGTGGTTATCTACGCTAGGCAAGACCTTAGAGCCAGCCAGGCGAGGGTACAGGGAGAGGATGTTTTTGAAGAGTCCAAGTGGTGTAAAATTAAATTAAAGGGAGGGGACTTACTTATCGTCGGGTGTATCTACAGATCCCCAAACTGTTGCCCACTAAATCAAAGGAACTTAAGAACCTTAATAAACAACGCGGCGATGCTCAACCCTAGCCGCCACCTTATCATGGGGGACTTTAACTATGGCGACATCGACTGGATAAACGAGTCCACCCCGAATGACTTAACGAGTCCACCCCGAATGACTTGAATGACCCTGCTACCCTTTTTGTAGAAACTCTGAGAGATAATTTTCTGTTCCAACATGTTAGAGACCCGACACATTACAGAGGGGAGCAAACACCCAAACCACTTGACCTCCTCATAACAAACGAGGAGGGTATGGTGGCCAAACTGGAACACCTTGCCCCAGTTGGCACCAGTCACCATATAGTGTTGTCATTCAGATTTAACTGTTACCTAGTTCAGGATAAGGCCAGGCCAAGGTGCAAATATTACAAGGGAAATTACAATGGGATGAGGGAAGAGATGAGGGGTCTCAACTGGCCTGACTTATTAAGGTACAAGAACGCTGACACTACGCTGAATATCATAACTAGTAAAGTGACCCATTTGATCGATAAATATATACCCAAGACCAAATCCAGTGCTTCTAGGAATACGAGGGGATCCCTACACATGAACCATGCGGCGGTCGACAGAATTAAGAAAACCCAGAAATTCAAGACGATTACTCCAGATCAAAATTATCCCAATCTTCTTCCATATCAGTGGTACTGCAGGCAGCTTGGTCTTGAGCAAGTTGACCCGTGTTGCTGAAGAGCTGCAGTTTGCTTCCATGGTGCCAATCTTCTTGACAACATCAGTGGGTAATTCATAGGTAGCACAACACTTTTCATTTTTTTAAACCATACTTCAGATATTATTGCATTCAGTGTTGAGAATTTCATTGTATTGCAAAGCTTGGACTTAATTGGGTTCATGTGGCTGAAGGAACGCTCTAGCTCTACATCGGCATTTGAATGTGGCAAGGTGAAAGCAGATAGAGCAACTTCTGATAACTCTTTGTAGGGATTTTCACCTGAAGTCTACAATTAGCTACTTCAGCCCAAAAATGCATTGTGTTAGCATTCTCAGTCCACTATGTGTGATGCAATTTTTCCACTGTATCAAACTTGTGTTACTTTACTTTTTTTACTTTTATCCTCTTCATCACTGATCGGCTCGTTAGCCGCTTGGGCGATCTGTCACGTCTCTGTTACGCACTGTTGGCAAGTAGTAAGCATGTATCGACTCCTGAATGTGCTTGAACCTGCTCCAGTATCGGTCAAGTCTGGTCTTGAAAGAGCTCACACTCGGTGCCGTCACAACAATTTCTGGCAGATTATTCCAAGAATTCACAACTCTCACTCCGAAAAAGTTTGCCCTCAAAGTTTTCTGGACCTGTGGCTTCTTCAATATTGAGCTGTGACCCCTCGTGGGGCGAGCGTCCGCCAGCTCCAAGTAGGGACACTCGACTGAGTAGTGCCTCTTCTTGAGACGCTATTGTGGGGTATGGGATGTTTGGTTCACACTCAGGATGGGATGGAGAAAGGAAACTCACAATGTGCTCTCTATATACATGTTGTATTGGATGTACAATGCAGCTTGGTGCTGGGAAGGCAGCATGGTTACAAGCGTGATGTAGAGAGAGCTGGTTGGTGAGGACGCTCAGAGAAGGACAGCTTGTGGGTCGCCATGCTCGCCAGCGGGAGAGAGGACTGCCAGGCAGGCGGAGGAGCGAGGACCGCCAGGCAGGCTGAGGTGTTGCTGGCTGGTTGGTGTAGGTAGAAAGAGAGACAGATCACCACGAGGTCAGGTCTTAAATAGCGGGGGTAGGCGTGGCTTAGCAGTTGACCCCCGCTCCGTGGTGTATGGCGGCGCTGGTTGACCTAGACCACGAGGCATACACTGGGGAATTGGTGGGGTCGGCTAGGCAGCGACAAACAGCGTTTGTAGGGGAGAATTCCACTACAATACTCCCCCTTCCCTCCAGGCTGTGTAGGAGACTTGTTGTCTGCAGGGTTGCATAGCACATGTGAGGCAGAACGGGCGGTGCGTGCCTCATGTGAGACAACGGCGATGGCGTGGATGAGCCGGTCGCTGGGGACAACTGTCTAGATACACAATATCTGTGGGAGTAGAGAGGGAGAATAAGGGTGTGTGGAGGCGATGAATTTTGTGCTTCCCTCACGGCAGGTACAGAGTCGTCAGATGCGCCTGCTGGGGTGTGTGGGCCTGGGTCAGGAGCAGGGGCTGCGTCAGCAGAAGCGGATGAGGGCTCGTGACAGCAGCTGGGTCCACGACAGCAGCAGGGTGCAGGACATTAGCAGGGAGTACCTGGGGGAGAAAAGAGGGGTGTGTGTGTCCGCACTCAGGAACAGAGGCCGCATCAAGGGCGGCAGGGGTTACTGCTGGGCCGGGGTCGGCGTCTGAGGCAGGACGGGTGTGCTGGGGTCGGTAGGACGTGGTGCTTAGGGCAGGAAGAGGAGCTGGTGTCTGCTTAGAGTAGCAGAGCTGCTCTAGGATGTCTAACCTGCGGTGTAGAGACAGTAGCTGTAGAGCCGATGAGAGCTGCTTCTGGGTGGATAAGCCAGTCTTCCATGTTGCTTGAAGACTGGGAGCGTGATCAGTTTCTCCTCCATCCTGTGTGAGTGCGAATCTCCGGGAGTCACCATTTGTGGGGTATGGGATGTTTGGTTCACACTCAGGATGGGATGGAGAAAGGAAACTCACAATGTGCTCTCTATATACATGTTGTATTGGATGTACAATGCAGCTTGGTGCTGGGAAGGCAGCATGGTTACAAGCGTGATGTAGAGAGAGCTGGTTGGTGAGGACGCTCAGAGAAGGACAGCTTGTGGGTCGCCATGCTCGCCAGCGGGAGAGAGGACCGCCAGGCAGGCGGAGGAGCGAGGACCGCCAGGCAGGCTGAGGTGTTGCTGGCTGGTTGGTGTAGGTAGAAAGAGAGACAGATCACCAAGAGGTCAGGTCTTAAATAGCGGGGGTAGGCGTGGCTTAGCAGTTGACCCCCGCTCCGTGGTGTATGGCGGCGCTGGTTGACCTAGACCACGAGGCATACACTGGGGAATTGGTGGGGTCGGCTAGGCAGCGACAAACAGCGTTTGTAGGGGAGAATTCCACTACACTATATCAGGCGCTCCAATCTCTCAGGGTAGTTTTAATAAATAGCACTGAAAATCCCCTTCCAATGAAAAAATGCTAAATTGGGCGCTAGATGTGGTAAAAGGCGCTAAATTTGCGCTATGGCGCAAAATTAAAAAAAAATTAGCACCGAGACCAAAAAACTCTTGGCAATCTTGTCACTGACACCTCCCCCCCAGACCAGTGTTGCCAGTAGGAAAAATCAAAATGTATACTCTAAAAAGTACTTAAAGGGTAAAAACTTACCCATCTAAAAAGTGTCCACTTTTTCTTTAATAAAATTACGAATTTCTTAGTATCTACAGCATTTTGGTATACTTGCATATAGCCTACAGCTACACAGCATACGATATGGTATCCCATCGTCATTCATCTGGCAACGGAGAATATTTCCACAAACTTCATGCATGGACGACTTGACTGTCGGATTTTTTCGTAAGATGGCAGGTCAACGGGTAAAGAAAACGCTTAAATTCGCTATGGTAATATTTTTTAATAAATTGGATCAAAGTGTCAAAAATAAGGGTTAAATTTGCTAAAAAGTCACGTGACTGCGAAAAGCTGATTGTGACGCCACTTGTCAGGGGTGTTTCCCAGCTGTAGTTGTCCAACCTCTGTCCTGCATGGCAGTGACATACCCACATGAATCTGACCTATATACAGTATACTGATGATGCTAGTGTCGTTCCCTTATATGTACTATATTGTATGTGTGACTCTCCCTTCACCCATGGTGTCGACACAATACTCCCTCATATTAACCCTGATGCCTTTCTACAAAACTCACTGGTTTACACCAACCCCAATTGTACCTATTACTTTCCTGACTCTCCCGAGTTTAGTTCTTGTCTTCTTCTACCTCATTCCTGTATCAACACATCACAACACAGTGGTGGTGTTGCACTATATTTTTCTTTTATCCTCTTCACCGAAAGATCGGCTCGTTAGCCGCCGGGCGATCGGTCACGTCTCTGTCACGCACTGTTGGCAGGTACTGGGCATGCACCAGCTCCTGAATGTATCTGAACCCGCTCCAGTGTTGGTCAAGCCTTGTCTTGAAAGAGCTCACACTCGGTGCCGTCACAACACTTTCTGGTAGATTGTTCCAAGAGTTTACACTATATGTTGATATCAAGTATAGCACTTCTGTAAGAGATGATTGAAAGGTTCAGGAGTTCATGGGGAGTGTTTTCACTGAATTACGTAACGGCACGCAAAATATCCTAGGAGTAATCTAAGGAAGACCCCACACTAATGTAAGGAACTTTCTTGATAAATTTTCGGAGCTTATCTCTATCATAAGTTCAGAGAGGAAACTTTGTTATATTACAAGAGATTTCAACCTTGATCTATTAAAATCAGAAACCGACACCCCAGTATTAGACCTTCTTGGCAAGAAGTTCTTGCTACAGTACCTCTCATTCTAAGCTCTTCAACACTATACCCAAACCCACAAGAGTAACTGACACCTCTGCCACTGTGATAGATCATATTTTCAATTTCAATTGTTTATTCCTTGATAGAGGAAGCAGGATCCTAGTGCTGTCACTAGGTACCCCTGAGGGATAGATCATACATGGACTAACAACACTCCTAACAATCTAGCAAGTGGTATTGTTTACAACAATATGTCAGATCACTTCCCAGTTTTTGCCATGTATAACAGCTACAAGATCTGAAAGGTCTAGTAAAGTCCCAATAAAATACAGAGACTACTGCGTCAACAACATGCTCCTTTTTGAAAACTTAATGAATGCTAAGTGAGATCTTGTCTATGCCTCCGACAACAGTAATGTGAACTGCTGCAACTTCTCTTGCATCTCCTATGCTTTTCCAGACGTTATATCACAAGTGAAATCAAGGCAATGACAAAAGAAAAACACAAACTCCAAAGGAAATTTGCAAAAAAGGACCCATAACTTTTGGTGATGCTTACCGAAGTACAGTATTAGAAATAGAGTAACTCAAGCAGTTAGAAATGCCAGATGCAGCTATTATACAAATAAGCTCCAGCCGGCATCAGGCAACAGGAAGAAAACCTGGAATATCATAAATTCTATTCAGAACAGGAACACTCGGCCTTCGGCTCCCCACTCAGCTTTTATGAGAAACGATTCAGTTGTTATGGAACACTCCCTCATTACCAACGTCTTCAATTATTATTTTATTAATGTTGGCAAAAATCTTGCAGAGAGCATTCCTAATCATCAAGAGGAATTTAGAGCCTACCTGCAAAACAGACAGCAAAATGAGCTGTTCTTATCCCCTATCACAGCAGATGAATTATTGACCATAATAAAAATGTCCAAAGATGCAGCAGCAGGCAAAGACAATATACCAATGAGCATCATTAAGAAAGTAACCCACTTATTACTACCTGTTCTCCAACACATTTGTAACTCCTTCACTTGTGGTGTCTTTCTGGAGAAACTGAAAATTGCTAAAGTTCACCCAGCATACAAAAAATCTGGGGACAAAGGTCTTTTCAAAAATTACCCACCCCATATCAGTCCTCCCAGCCTTAAGTAAGATACTGGAGAAGCTTGCATGTAGTAAACTAAATTCCTTGTGCAATGTCAATAACATCCTCACAGACTTTCAGCTTAGATTTAGAGCTAGAAGGTCGACTGAGTGCTCTGCTATCCTTTACTAATGACATCTTAAACTCCTTTGATGACAGTCAGTTCACAGTGGGTATATTCTTGGACCACTCTAATGCCTTTCATACTGTCGACCACACCATCCTCCTTTCAAAGCTTGAACATTACGGTGTTAGGGGTCTGTCCCACAATTATTTCACCTGATATCTGTCTAACAGGAAGCAGTTTCTGCTCCAATAATCATCAATCATCAATCTGACTCCTTACGACCAGGTCGTAAGTCGAAAATGCGAAAATTATACATAGAAAATCTAAAATGGGTGTCTCTTTTCCTTCTCAGCACCACGAGAATTCTCACTTTCACACTTGCCAGCCATTTTAAAGGGAATTACAAACAAAAATTTTGTCAGTACACAGCGCGATCACTAACGTCGGGACTCGAAAATACGTAATTATAAAAATATTTTATACGACTGCGGCGGTCGTATGTCCAGGTGGTCATAAGTCGAGTAGGTCGTAAGTTGAGGAGTACCTGCAGTCCACACCAGCACACTCATAAAATACAACATATTTGCAGACGATAGTAATCTCTATGCCAGCAACTCAGACCTCCATTCCTTGATGAGAACTATGAACACTGAATTGACTAAAGTCAGGACCTGGGTAATACGCAATGAACTGAGCTTAAACCTCGAAAAAACCCACTATACCATCTTTCACAGAAGTAAGAACTTACCCCCAGATTTGGACCCCCTGTACCTTGGTAATAAAGTCCTCAAACACAAACAAAATACTAAATTCCTTGGGGTTATTGTTGATGAGAAACTTAGCTGGAGAAACCACATACATGTACAAGCCATTCACAGTAAAGTCAAAAACAGTGCGGTATCATGTATCACACTTGACAGTCACTCACTCTTACAACAATGAAAGAAATCTCATATGATCTTGTTTACCAACACCTGATACACTGTCACACACTATGGGGCCTGTAGCTCTTCAAAAAACACAATCTCTGGATACTGCACAAAAGAGAGTTAACGGACTCAATTTTCCCCATAAGAAATAGATAAAATACGGGAGTTACGTTCCCCAGCCTTCCTTTGCCCCATAAAATACATTACATATACATAAATTCAATGGAATTTTTATAGAAAATAGTATACCCCTGTATATTATACATCAAAAAAGATAAATAAACTAAATCATTTTGTATTGTACTCACTGATGGGCGGAGGTGGAGCGAGTGTGTGGTGGGTAGTGGAGAGGAGGGTGGAGCGTCACTGAAGCCTGGAGGTTGGCTCCTCCTCCCTCTCTGACTGGGGTTCCTCCTCGGCTGCTGCTTGCTCCTCCTCGCTTGCAGGCTGTTGTGAAGCCATTTCTAATGGTTAGAGTAGGCTACAGTATTTAGAACAAAAACTCTTAAACACCCACGAATGCTGTGGAAGCCTAACAAAGATTGGGGACGCTCCGCGAGAGAGCGTAGCACGCCAAGACAAGAGAAGGTGATGCGCTGTACAAAGTAGTCCGTGACGACATTATACCGAATCGGCGGGACATTGTCCGAATCATGGGTATCTAAAGATTAGCGATGTTATAATGAAACAACATTATCGGAGGCAACATTAAACGAGGACTTGCCATACATGTGTGTGTGTGTATATATATATATATATATATATATATATATATATATATATATATATATATATATATATATATATATATATATATATATATATATATATATATATATATATATATATATATATATATATATATACTATATATATATATATCAGAGTGGGGTACAAATCACATTGTTGCTTTCAATGCCACCGAAACAGATATCATTACCAACCTCCTCTGTCAATTTGTAACATTCTCATTACACCAGTGTACTGTGCACATCATTGTCATCCTTAATATCTCTTTTATTCATATTACGCTATATAGCATTCAAGTCCACCGTGCTGTAGTCACAGAAAACGGGAAACGTTGGTAAAGGATAACTCACCTACTGTATGTTGTTTTATACGAATTGTGCCAAGGTACGGTCATATAATATTAAGTGTATCTATAGGATGATTGGGAAGGTCCATCTGATACGGACTAGTGTACTATAAGGGATAAGTGTAGATCGTGTTTGAAGGTCATACTATTTACATCTGTGAACGATTACCGGGTAGTGAACATAGCTACCGCAGGTATCAGATGAAAATATAAGAGAGCAGTGATCTGGAAAAAGGATAAATGTATGAGACCTATGTGAAGTGTTGGAAGTGATCCAGAAACTATACTTCAAAGAAAATATCTTGTATGCCTCGGTGTGAGCTTAGTACACCTCGTTATCTCATGTGACGAATAACTACGAACAATGCAATGATCAGAGAATCTTATGACTGTGTTCAACAATTGCAACGTGTGAGGGGAGGATCCCTAAATACAGATTGAAGTGAAGTGGATATACCCACGCCATGAAAATATGACGCTAGGCTTTGTTCGGGTTGGCATCCATTCTGCCCCGGGCTAGTTTTGAGTTAATGATATAGCCCAATTAATTTCCCCAGGAACTGGCAAACCAGATCCTTACTTTAGTATGAAATTTAGGATTAAAATATACATGTATAATTATAAGGCATAAGGTCACAATAGATAGGAAAGTGTATATGTGAGAACCAGAATACTGTAAAATCAAAGTTAAAATTAAAGATTGCAAACTGTAGGCCTAGTTCAGTGAGAGAAGCGAGGCATCTTCCTTAGTGATACCCGCTCTCTCACCAAAACAGGTCAGTGAACTCCATCGTGCTCCATTCAGCCCTAAAAAGACTTACCTAGCAGTTTTTTACATCTTAAAACCTTGCCTGATGTTATAGTGAAGTAATAGTTGTACTAGTGTGTGGTGATAAAAGCCCATCAGGCCTTACTTAGTGATACCCGCTCTCTCACCAAAACAGGTATCCACTCGTCCAGCGTCAGCCATTACCACCACTGTGAGGAACTCACCTTGTGTGGTGTGTCTACTTATGGCCATGATGCACCTCCACTGTGAATCTGTGGATACCCTCTATATCACCACCCAGGATAGGAGAAAATAATTGTAAGTTTGAGAAGTTTCGCGGGCACTATGTGGAGCGACCTTAGAATACCAGGTTTGGAACCAGTACTGGTATGATTACTTGGGAAGAATCCTATCTACTCAGCAAGAGTAGTGTGTGAACAAAGTACCTGGTATGTGTACCTAAGAATACCAAGGAGTTCCATACTTGTAGTTGTGGAGTGTATACGAGATGTGGTGCTATAACAGGTGGTGTAGTCTGATGTGTTGGGTGTTATAGTAAGAAAGAATGACCGAGATAAGTAGGTCATTGGTTGTTATGAAGAATGAAGATGATAATAGTAGTTGTTTGATGAAGAACGTATATTGATGTGAAGTGTAATGAACATAACAGTGGTTCTTCTAATAAAGGCCAGATCTTTTTGTATTGTGCTTGAATGCACTATGTTTTTATAAGGAATAAATTAGTTAAGTCATGATTGATGTTTCACCGTTCTTCCCAATGAAAAACCCAACCCAATGCCTAACTTACTCTGCCCGCTACCTAACGAGCTACATACTGTCCAGGGGGGCCTGGTAGCAGTGACCTTAAAATTAAGAGTAGAGTTAAGTTGTCCCCTTAGAATTAGTGACCCCAGAATTGGGCAGTATACCAGCCACCAATGACGCTATCCTTTTACTGTACCAATTAATCTCTTAGAACTGCCACATATCCAACATTACAAAAATAACCAGTACATACAAACTAGACCCACACACCACTAAAATTTCCTTTGACAGAACCAGTCACTGCCAGAGAGGGTTCTGTCATGTTAACAAGATAAATTATCAAGATGAAAAATACATTGGGCTGCAAAGTAACTTCTCATCCGGTAAAATTAAGTTCGAGTCATTGCTTTGTGGGTTACTTAAATTTTAGGAACACTGTTGAAACCCTGAGATTGTCCTAACTGTTTCCCTTGTGAATAAGAAAAAAATCATGCTGCAATCCTTCATTTATTTCCTATGGGTCATTCAAGTATCCTATGTGGCCAAATCAGCTCAAAGTAGAATTGAGGGGTAATTTATCAGGTAAACGTAATAATACCACCCCTTTTAGAAAGCATGTAGAGCAGAGTACGGTATGTCAAGAATAATAATCGAGGACTATCCTTAATACATTTTAGTTCCTCAATTTGGACTCTAATTTTCATTCAGATAACTTTCAATTAAAATTTAAACTGAGGACCAATGGGCTAAGCTCCAGAATGTATTTTAAAGATATTCACCTTAAACTCTCATACAGGGAGGGTCACTCTGTTGAAAAAAATTGTCTGACTTTATCCAAATAAAATATTAAAAGGTGTCCTGTAGTGAAGGGGTTAGAGAGGTCATTGAGGAAAATATCTTCAATACAGTATCATTTGCTTCAGCAGTACACCTAGGTTGAGTGGTCCCAAATTTTTATTACCAAAACTGATATTTTTTTCTGAGAGTTGCCTCAGGGAAATGAATGAAAATTAATAATTTCCCTTTAAGATACTTAATGAAATACTGGAAAGATTAATGGCTAACACAAGCAGAAACTTGGTGACATCAGTGTCCGAATATTCTGGTTTTCATTCTTTAAGAATTCAGGACTACGTAAGTTTTAAACAAGCCTAGGTTATGGAGTAAACAAAGAATATGAAACTAAACCCCCTTTTTAGATTATGATCACAACTTGGACTCATATGTCCACCATTTGTCTCAGTTAAGTTTAAGATATTTGGGGAAAATAAATGGTTAATAAATGAAAGCAATTAAAAAAAGTGTCTAAATACTGTGGTTTATTTGCCTATTTCAGTCTATATAAAGTATCTAAATAAAAAAATAAGGACTTCAAAAGAAGAGAGACAAGTATAAATTAATGTTTACAGTTGACTTTGGCATACAGCATCATGTTACTGTTCAGTGATTTACACAGGGATTGTTTTGTAACACATTTATAATGTGATAACAAAGATACAAAAAGTGGTTACAAAATAACTGAATTAATGAGTAAGTGCAAAACAATATAAGCTAAATGTTTGTTCAGAAAAATCAGTGCACTTGTAATGGTGACATCACACAAAGTATCTGGGTTAAACTCTGTGAGCATCATGATAATTCTCGCTCTCACAATAATGTAAATATTTTTGTAATCCCTTCACATGATGGCAACTCCAGGATGCAAAAAGAGGACAGTACACCATTTCTTTCTCTCAATCTTGTTTTTTTTTATTCTAGAATTTTTTGTTTTGCATACATATACTGTACAGTAGCTACCTACTGCATTATTACTCAAATTGATTTACAGGTAAAATATTTAAAGTTGTGAAATTAGGTAGTTTTTGGAAAGCTCCTTTCTGTACTACAGTATCTTATTTATCTTTACCTTTGTAAATTCATATCATCAGGAAATAAATATTCCCATAACTTTCTGAAGTTTATGGGACTTTCTGTAAATTATACTAAGCTGGGAGTAGCTAATTACCGGTAGTCTTACTAGAAAGAAAGATATACTGTAGTTAAATCTTTGAATGCATCTACTACATTAAAATTATCACAAATCCTTCTTTGAGGTGTTTTACAAAGCCTTATTTATACAAAACAATTTTTATCTGATTTATATATATATATATATATATATATATATATATATATATATATATATATATATATATATATATATATATATATATATATATATATATATATATATATATATATATATATATATATATACTGTATATATATATATATATACTGTATATATATATATATATATATTTTTTTTTTAAAGCCCAGATAAGAAATTCAATCATAATAGTAGCATATAAAATAATAATACAGCCCTTAATGAACTTGGAATTGTTTCCGAGTAGATAACCTCTACACTGTACCCCTTGTTAATTCAGATTGATTATAATTTGGATTTTGGCTTAATTCATATTTTTTTTTTTTAATGAATTAAACGATTTGAATTCGTAATGACTCTGAAATAACTGAGTGGTTTTGAAACGTAGATTAGTATTATAGCAATATATTATGAAAAAGACTTAGATGAATGAATTATTGGAATAGAATATAAATTATATTAAGATACTATACAAAACTACGTTTGATGTGAAGCCGGGGAGAAGAGGTGGGGGAGGACAAATCATCATCCACCTGCTCGTCACCCCGTGTTTACTTTATAACAACATTATGCAGTTTCACCATAATTCCTTGATTATTTAGGTTCATTTGGTGCCAGGTTAATAAAACATTAGTATAAAACAATAATAATAAATAAATAAAAAATTTCCCTCAAAATCTAACATTAAATCCCGATGAGCTATCAGGCAGTAGTATATTCTCAGTACTGTACTGTATCTTGAGCCATCACATATCAATTAATTTTAAAATAGAAATTATAAATTAAAATGGTATCAGACGATGGTTAAGTAATTCTGTTAATGTGTGTGCTGTTAAAGTGCCTTGTCACAAAGCCTCACCCCTAGCATCGTCAGCTCACCTCAGTGTTACATTTATTTATTACTGTATTATTTACTTTATTATTACTGTATGTACATTTAGAAAATATATGTTTACACAGTAATTATGAATACAGGTTGAACCTCCCTAATCCGGCACCCTTTGGACCTGACCGGTGCTGGACTATAGAATTTTCCGAACCACAAGTGGTCTTTGTAAAATACAAAGTACAGTAATTATTGATGCGCCAATCTGGTGCATCATATTTAAAATTTTGAGCCTAATGTTTCTCTGGGCACTACACTGTCCTAAGGGCAAAGCTGTACTGTACATGTACTCAAAATAATGTACTAAATGATTACTAAAATTTTTGTCTAGTGCAAACCATAGCATGTTTATATTCAAATTAATCACTATCTTATAAGAATTCCAGCAATGTAATTATATTCTCCCCGTCACTTCTGTGACATTTTATAAGCAAAAAACATAAACTCAAGCTAAAGAACATAAATAAACAAATAAATACTGTACTTCATTAGACCTTCAGCACCAACTGTCAAACATGTCACTGTCACCTCCCCTTCCTCCCTCCCAGCCAGGGTTTGGTGGTTATACAGTAGGCTTTAAGTTTTTATCTTACATAATATCACAGACTAAAGTTAGAATATAATTTCATTTCTAGAATCCTTGCAAGACAGCGAATAATTTGAATATAAACATCATATATTTTGCACGATAAAATTTTTTGCTCTTTGTATGTCTAATGTGAGCTACGTATAGCATGCTTATATTCAAATTAATTACTATCTTATAAGAATTCCAGCAATGTAAATTATATTCTCCCCGGTCACTTATGTGACATTTTATAAACAAAATACATAAACTCAAGATATAGGACATAAACAAATGAATACTTCACTAGACCTTCGGAGCCAACTGCCAATCATGTCACTGTCACCCCCCTCCATCTTCGCAGCCAATAAACAGACCATTTCGCATCCCTTAATTTTAGCTGTGTTGATTTATGAGTGTTTGTTTTAACAATACTGTACTAAAAAAACAATGTTTGTTTATTCTAGATGGGCTGAGGGGCATCTGGGTACACTCAGTCTTTTTAGAATTTTGTGTTTCTCTCAAGCACAAAAATAAATTATTCCATTTAAACAGCATTTTGATTTAGTGGGAAACACTTCGATTTAAAGCGACCTCTCTTGGAACATATCTCGTGTTATATCCACATTCTACTGTACAGTGTAATTGTAATAAACGAAAATAGATAAACAATAATTCTCATTCTGCACTTAAAATGACAAAATAGTTACGGTACCTGTACATAAATTGGTGATGTACACCTGTAAAGAAAAAAAATATCTGTACAGTAAATGAAATAATAAAATAAATATGCTTAGGAAGCATATTAAGGGTAAATAACAAGTGAAATATTACAGAAACACTTGAAATACCTAGGAATGCACCAAACTTCACAAGGACCAGATGTAAACAAAGGGTATGCCGAACCATGGATACTAGCAGCCGTACGGCAAACTAAAATTTTGCCGGACGACGGGAGGTGCCGGACAATAGAATACCGGATTAGGGAGGTTCAACCTGTAGATGATTTTTATGTGGCAGCCATGGCAAGGCGCAAAAACTGAACAGAAAATGAACGAACAATCAAACACAAAAATTCGGAACTGTCAAATTCTGAACTCGGTTAATTCAGATTTTTCAGTAATTTGAGAGATCCAGGGCCCTTTTTTATCAAATTAACAAGGGTAAAGTGTAAAGTATGAAGTTCCAAGAAATTTCATCAAGGAAGTAGCAATCTTAGAAATACACTGAAAAAAAAAAATTTTCTTCATAAAATTCAGACATGAGGTTCATAAAATTCTAGAAATTTTTTAAAATAATTTTGTCTGTATCTATTATAACATTGGAGGTGAATACTGTACAGTACAGTCCATGTTCAGAGACTGGGTGGCATATGTGGAGACTGATACACAGATAATAAAGACAAAATGTTAAATAACACTTACCCACCAGTCTCATCCACTAATAGTCAGCTGAGCACTGCCCTTATCTGTAAAAATCTGGTGTGGCAAAAACTGAAGGTAGAATCATAAGACCCCCTTTATGGTTGAATGGATTGGAATTTGTGGGCTTATCTCAGGGATTGGTGTTATCAAAACCTTATTGGCTCTCAAAACAACCACTAAGCTCATTATTAAAAGCAATGATTTGACCTGGTTTCCCTGAAGAAATTGCTTTACAGCATAATGCATTGTCAACATGGATCATGCATCCTGAACATGGCATTCTTCCTGGCAATAGTAATCTCTTCCAGGTGGTGTTTTGTGAAATGGATCTAAAAAATATCATTGATGGCCCACAGCCTATAGTAGCAGGTTTTGTTGATAATTTTGAATTTTATAATGTATGGCAGAACATTAAACAGGCCTAAACTGTTGTCAACCATTACAATGGAAAAATGCTGACTAAAAATTAAATAACTTTTCTGTTACTGTACTAATCAGTTTGTTCAATCTTCGAACTTTATAAATAATGGAGACTAATCACTTTTGTACACTTTAATATTAATCTGACTTTGCAAAAGCATTGCCTTGTCCAGAAAAATACCAATTTATACACTGAATTCCTCTACTGCATTCTTGTAATGACAATATGACACCTTACTTATTTTATTTCATAGTAAATTTCAGCACAGTACCGTATTTGATAAAATTGACAAATTCATCAAAATTGCATCATCATATAGGATAAAATAATACAAGAGATTTAAATAAAGGACTAAAAACAATATACAGTACCTAAAAAATTACTTTGAAGACAATACAAAATTTTCATTTCTGTAACAAAATCCAATGACACATTAAAAAATATAACTGCTAGGTACATGAGCTGGGATTCTAGACCATCTTTAAGGTATCTTTCTTCCACATTATAAGATTGATTCTGAATCATTGGAGATGAATTAGGCTCAAGAAACGTCAAGGAATTTCATTCATTGCTACAGCAAATAATTTCCCAAATCATAAACCAATTTTCCCCATTAGAAATCTTAATTTTTTTTGGTATAATTTACACGAAGGAAAAATTTATGAATTATAGGTAGTTTTGGAATACAGGTTGACAATCCCTTATCCGAAATCCTTGGGGCCAGAGGCATTTCGGTTTTCAGAATGGTTAGTTTTTTTTTTTTTTTATTATTAGCCCATCCAGGCACAAGTCACTGACCCACATTGGGGCCTGGGGGGGAAATAGAATACAAATTATAATAATAATAATAATTCATAGGTCTAGGTCGTGTTTCTCACTTTTGATCTTTTTTCATTGTATTTCTTTATTATTATTAATATTTTATTATCATTATTATTTTATTTTGGTGTATTTTTTAATAATTTTTTTTTTACTATGAATAATTATTATTATTATAATTATTATTACTATTACATTTTCGCTCCCCAGGCCCCGATGTGGGTCAGTGATCTATGCCTGGGTGGGCTAATCCCTGTTTAAAAAAAAAAAAAATCGACCCACAAAAAAATACTTTCGGTTTTCAGAGCTTTTCGGTTTTCGGAATTTCGGATAAAGGGTTGTCGACCTGTATTAGAAAAGCAAATCATAACAAATAGAACGAGATCTGTTCCTGGGGACATTCTTAAGTTGAAAGTGTACGTAAGTCGAAACACATGCTATGTGTATACCATACTTGCAGAACAATGTTTAAAATCCCACTACAGTATATCATAACCTAAGTCCTTATATACATCCAAAATCACTTAATTTAAGAGAAAAGAAGAAATAGAATGACAAAATACAGTAAATGAAAGTAAAAAAATAAGTAATCAAGTAAGTTAAATGCTACTGTAAATTTAAAATTTAACCTCATTCGTATCCGCTGATGTAAGTCGGATGTTTTTAACCCGGGGACTGCCTGCACTGTATATAACGACCTTTTAAAAATTACCATTAGGAATGATTAATATCTGGTAAAAAATTTCAGAGTGACATGTTAAGTTGTACAGCTTCAGAGCAAAAGTATTTTAAACTATGAGTAAATGGTCCATGTGAGGTACAAAATAGGAACTGAATCCATTCAACACACTGCAATCGCTAATTTGGCACAATGTCATAAGTAATGACTGTGAGTGGTGACAAATTAAAATATTCATCGGATATTTTAAATGTTTTAAAAGTATGGCTTTAAAGTATAAGATAGATAAAGAAATCTCCTAATGCTGCATTCCTCCAAAAAATATTCAGTTTGATAAGAGAAGATATTGTTTACTACAGAAATTATTTTATCAAATAATTCATAACTTGGCAATTATTGAAAGCAACGTGATTGGTAACTTGATATCAAAGATAAAAACTAAGTAATATCCATATTCCCTTCTCTATTAACAGTGAAAGAAAATCAAGGTGTGATTAATCAGGCTAACATAATTTTTTATTCCACTTTATAGCATGGAACAGCCAGTCAAGAAATTATAAAACAGAATTATCTAATACAGTACCATACCTTGTGAAAATTTTCTTAATTTAAATGCTCCATACCAGAGCATTATAAATTTCCTAACCATTTTACAGATATCTGACTCATAGCATATAACTACGGTACCTCACACTGAGATGCATAGATCTTTGAGAGTAACTTTGTTTTTTTTATTAAAGATAGTATAAAGCTTGTCTCTGGTCGTCTGGAGGAAAATATGACCAGTTGTAAGGGATAAAGACGAAATATAACACACTTCTGTTTTCTACAACAAAAACATCTAATTTGGTTTGACAAGATGCCAGTACACACACAATAAAAAAATCTAAAAACAACCTATTTTCACTCATTCAGCATGGACTATGAGACACACATAAAATATCCTGTATGAAATTGAGGATTAGATATAATGTACCCTAATTCAAGGGTAAGATTGCACAGATTCTATTAATTTCTAATAATAATATTGGAAGATTTCTTTAATTTCACCATGTTTTTATAGTCTAAAGTAATGGAAGTAATGCTGCTCATAACAAAATCCTGTGACAGCAGTCACTAGAAGCAATTTTTAGGTTTTTAGTCCTCTATAAGATACTTGGAAGATACAAGAGAAGTTGGCCCTCATCAAAAATAATCGGTAGATGGGATGTACTTCATCTCCCTAACATCCTGAACACTGAAGTTTGATCAGAAATTGCAAATCTTAAGACTTTTATTCAATAAGACCAGTTTCCAGTTTTAAACTGTCAAACAAGCTTTCCTTTGGCACTAAAGATTCTGATTTTTTGATCACTTCGCAAACAGGTTCTGAACCTTTGTTGATAAATCTTCAATCAAGGTTTCACATGTTGAGGCAGAATAACTCCATCTGTACCCCCATCCCCCTTCTGTGCGTTGATTTGCTTATTCACGAACTCCTTACAACCTTATTGTGTACTTGAAGAATCTGAAAAGAGAGGATATTACTTCACACACATACATACACATACACAAACAGTATCTGCAATAAAATAATTATGTTTTAAATCCTGCATATTGTAAGATATGAGATTGGAGCCCAAGGTATGAAAAGAACAGTAATAGCAGGAGTTACTGCATAAAGGAAAATGGCAGAAAATATGGAGGATGAAAACATCAGAAAGAAGTTAAAAGAGTGGGTAGGGGTAATGGCAGCAGAGGCTTCAGGTATGTGAGAACAGCTGGGCGAGGATAACAAACACGGAGAATTGTAGATTGGATGAGCTGAGAATATAATGAAGTGAAGAGAACTCTGACACAAAAGTGGGTGGATGTACAGTAGGTGGAACATGTATAATAATTATTGGAGGGAGGGCTAAAAAGGAGAGCGAATGGGATGGGAGCTTAACTGAAATGGTGAACTATGTTGGAAGAGATATAGTGGACAACTGCAAAAGATAGAGAGGGGACAGATGAGGAACATGAAACAGACAGGTACCTACTAATGTACAAAAAAATTGACAATATATATATATATATATATATATATATATATATATATATATATATATATATATATATATATATATATATATATATATATATATATATATATATATATATATATATATATATATATATATTTTGATAAAATCACATGGGAAAAGAAACAATGGGAACTTATGGCTTTTAAGTCTTGTTCAAGACATCTTCAGGGCAGTTTATGAGTGAATAAGCAGGTCTCGATGTTCACTTTTATCAAGAGCCCTTATATGTTATATATATATACTATATATATATATATATATATATATATATATATATATATATATATATATATATATATATATATATATATATATATATGTGTGTGTGTGTGTGTTGTTCTTTAACAACACCTATTAAGATAATTATTACACTCAAAAGGGTAGACTGCCACCACCCAGGCTTTCATTAGAATATAGTAACTGATATTATTAAAAATGTTAGGTAGCTTGGTAGATACGAGCTTAGGCACGTGAGTTGGTGTTTATTTTCTGAGAAGCAAATTGTTAGAAGGGAAAGAGCAGTGATACTCACAATTTACTAAATCAATATTTATCAAAATCAAAAGTGAATAAGATGATGTGATTTTTCTTATTATTATGTTGATGATGTGAGAATCTCATATATATTTTTTGTGTACATGACTGTAATTTCCATGAATTTATTTACTTGTAATTTTTTTTTGACTCATTTGATGTGAAATTATTATTATTTATATGTGAAATTAACATATGTTGTATTGTATGTATTGTTGACAAACAACCAAGTATCTCAGTATATTTTGTTTTGAAGATCATATAATTATACTGAAAATGTTTTATTGGCTATATCACACAATATGAATCTTTGGGGAGGGGAAAACTTTGTATTGACCACGGTCGTACATGTTAGTTAACATAAAATCAGACGATTCATATTATGCTAAATAGCCCACAAAACAGGTAGCTATGACTTCTTTACTGAGTTCCCCAGCTGAGAAGTACATTCTCTCACCACTTCAGGATGCCTGAGTCCTCCATTTTCTGTCAAGTAGTACCTCCGAGACTCTGATATTTCTTAATTCCTCATATCGTGTTCAGAGATTTGAAATTGAGCGAACTCAATTGTTTTGAGTCAAATTGGATATGTCTGATTACAGATGAAACATTCAGGATCCCTTGTGAGTGATGTTGAAAACTTCAATTGTATTTACTGTTAGTAAAATTGTCAAATCAGTTTGAATAGTCTACTAGTAGAAGTGACGAAGCCCTAACATCGCCTGTTTGGACGCTCCGAGTGCCAAACTGACACTGAAGTTAGATCATTTTGATTCCCAATCATCAGATAATCCGATGTTTGTATTGAAATTGTTGTCCGTTGTATATTTTAGAAATTAATTATTCCTGAAAAGAATATGTCAGTCTTCTTATCTCCAAGATCTAAAGGCACACTCTGTGTAGGCCCTTGTCTAAAATTGTGAGAAGGTCCTAAGAAAGACATAAGATATTCATTTGAACCATGACACTGATTTTCATAGCCAAATGTACAGCAAAAGATTTAAATGAAATTTATGTCAATGTATGAATTGCCCCTTTTGGCATGCCCGAGTTGCCAGTTAGCCCATATATAAATGCGTGCACGAAGAAGTGCGACACTTTGTGACGCCTTCTCCTCGTATCTCAAGTATGTCTCACGCCCGCCATATTAAGTCAGTTTAACTCAGTCGTATTTTGTGAATATTAGTGTTCATGTTTAACAGTGAAATCCTCATGTGCCAAATAAGAATTAACGCACCGTAAATATCGTCTGTGCCGATGCCAGACCTATGATTGTGTGTAATTGAGTTTGGACTTTTAAGACTTTGTGACACCTTCTCCTTGTAGCTCGGGCAGTGTTGTAACTGAATACCCGCAGCTACCATGGATCGGTAGCTGTCTACCAGCCTGATGCCTAAGGCAGGATGTCTTTAATTCAGCCAGATTAAAATGAGGAAGTAACGCGCCCGAGGAACCAAGCCCGGGAGATGAGCTCCCTAGCCGTGCGTCGTAGTCCAACCGACATTAATACCAAGCTTCATTTATTGTAGTAAACAACAGTGAATGACCCTGGTGTAGTAATTGCAGTTATACTGTATGTGCAAAGTAATGTTCTTGTATATGTGTGAGGATAGTTAGCAGAAATATAATTATACCAAATTGAATATTAAAACCATAAATATTGATATTACTAGTATTTAAGTTTGTTATAAGCATTGTGAGTAAACTATCAATCTGTACTCTCAACAGAGATCGGTTACATGTTCATTCCGATATAACATGATGTTATAATTAACTTAGTAATATCTGTACTATTGACAAGTGTGTAAAATAACCATCTTTATTGTCAAAAAAATAATATAACAGTTGTTTAGTTTTGTAACAAATAATCGAAGATCTATTTTGTTACTTATAAAGTAAGACCTAATGGTCCATGCTTGTCTGTGTGTGTTAAATTGTCATCTTTTTCACTTTTGATTTTAATAAATATTGATTTAGTAAATTGTGAGTATCACCGCTCTTTCCCTTTTAGCAATTGCTTCTCAGATAATAAATACTGTAACTCACGTGCCTAAGCTCGTATCTACCAAGCTACCTAACATTTTTAATAATATCAGTTACTATATTCTAATGAAAGCCTGGGTGGTGGCAGTCTACCCTTTTGAGTGTAATAATTATCTTAATAGGTGTTGTTAAAGAACAACACACACACACACACACACACATATATATATATATATATATATATATATATATATATATATATATATATATATATATATATATATATATATATATATATATATATATATATATATATATATATATATATATATATATATATATATATATATTTGTACGATGAGAAAGGGCTGACACATTTTGATTTTG